AAAAAAACGAGTGATCGCAATTACAATTTCATCGACTCGTGACTTGAGCGGTGAATTCCGATCCATTCCAATGGCAATCGGCATATAAATCACGCACTCCGACATGATGTGCAAATTTCTGTCCCCAATGACCCGATCCCGACGACTCGACCTCTTCATCTGCATTTCCTCCAGCAGTTGACGTTTAGCTCTAGCTTCCTGGAGTGTCTGAATATTCTCATAATATCCAAAGGTCCCATTAGCAACCCTAGCCACAGCATCATCCTCCCTGTGAGTCAATTCGAATCTAGAACCGATTTCCGTCAGATCGGGATCGAGAGATGAATAAAAAATTTCTCGTTGCTCATGACTCCATCCACCGAGTGAAATTTTGCTCCTCGCTAGTTGCTTCAGGGTATCAATGGTGATCCTGGGGAATATTTATAATATTTTCTGACCACAGGAAAATATGACGAGAAATTTTTCCATTTTTATTTTACCTCGCAACAGGATTGGCAAGGGTGGCTGTCATGCTGGCGCGATATGCCACAGTAACTAGAATAGAATAAAGCAGCCACCAGCCGATGAAGACCCGGAGGGCCCAGGGTCTTGGCATCCTCGGGAGGGATACCTGCAGCAGCATGCTGTACGTGTACAGGATGCTGTTCTGCATGTCAGTAAAAATACTCAAGCCTCTCATCTCCTCGTTCCACTGTCTCCCAGGTGATGGTCCTGGAGTTCTCCTCAGCACCAACGATCTCTCTCTCGATATTTCCACTCGATTGATCCCGGTCATTCCTGTTTTAACGTGGGGCATTATCTCCTTCTGGTAGAATAACGCGAACACGTGGAATGCCAGAGCCACTACCAGAAGAATCAGAATTACCGAGATCCAGGTGTAGAGTCTGAAAGATTTTTGGATTTTACCGGATTTTTATCGCTGGAGCACTGGGGATAGTCACCGAAATGGAGATATCAGGAGCTTCCAGGAGTTGTCGGTTAATGATTCTGGAGTGAGAAATGTCAGGCACTCGGAATTGTAGGGATAAGACAGCTCCAGGAGGTGGGAGTGTCTCAGGGTGCTCTGGAGGTCTCCCAGGAAGAACTCGGCGTTTCCATTCTCGGCTTCCCCCAGGAGTCCATTGTAGCTCCCGTTCTCTTTTTTTGTTCCCCATTTATCGATTTCGATCCCGTCAGGACGATAAAAAATCGGTCTGAAGAGCAATTTCTCCGTGAGGACTCGCAGGATCTGAAAAAAATATTGGAAAGGATTGAGGAATTAATTCGATTTTATTGATTTTATGCGGAATCGAGGGACGGGGTTGGATGAAGGGTGGATTTAATTATTTAATTAGGATTTTTGGAATACCTCGAACTCTACTCCTAGGGCTTTCTCGCTGTAACCCTCAGGATTTTTATAGAATTGTCTGGAATATTGGGTGACTGCGGGGATATGTTCGAAAACGGCAACTCTGAAAGTAGAAAAACACTGGAGTGCACGTCCTCTTCTCCTGGGACAAGCCGATTTCGCGGATCGGTACGATAACTACGAATATCTGCGAATCTATGAGAGATAATGAAATTTTCATTGGGACCTTTCTTGTAGCTCTCATCTCGCTCGATGAAATAGGTTCCGATGAAAATTCCGCTATCTCTCTTAGATTCCGAGATTTTCATTAAAACCTCGTACACCTCCTCCAACTGAACTGCACAATTTTCTAAAAGATCGACTGATTTTATCTCGGAAACCGTCGATTTTCGGAGAAAATATGAAAATACCTTTTTTATTGGAAATTTCGGCAACTACAAAAAAGTCCTTTACTGTTTCCGTCTCCCATCGACAGGTCTCGAGATAAATCGATAATTATAAAAAATGTGAAAATCGACTTGTATCAATTTATTTCGGAATTGAATCAATTATTCTTCAAGTACTTGAGGCGTTTTTTTTCCAGCCTCAGGGTTTCATTCGTGAAAGGATTATCGATATCTCGATTAATCATTCGATTTTTGTACCACGTGTTGACGTATCGAGTCTTCACGAAGTCTTCCGCACGAACTGGATACAAAATCGTTTCTAGATTAAACCACTCCTTCGAGGATATCCTGTCAGACTTCCTCACCAGGATCGAGAACCGGTGAATAAACACCACATTTATAATCCTGTTCCATACATATTTCATTTCCCCATCGAAAAGTAGATCGTCGTAAACCAGAAGAAAATTGCCTTGCGCGTTTATCAACCGATTTCTAAAAAAAATCAACTTTCAGCCACAAAAATCCCGTTATCTCCCATTAAAAAAATCCAATCACATTGGATCAAAACGATTTTTGTTTTCCCTCAGAATTACTTCTCTGCGTACTCCAATAATTGCGATACTTGCAGTCCATTAGCGATCAAAAAAACGTAGACATCACAGGCGTCATCTTTACTCTTCCTGAGAATTCCTTTTATTTTTTCCCTCGGCGGTGATAGTTCCTCGTTCTCTCGTACATAAATCTGACGAGAAAATCGGTCAATCGGTCAATCGGTAATTAAATAATGAGAATTATAGAGAGAATTTTACTGAATAGTAAGGAAGAGAATTTATCCGCCAGTTGAATCGAATCGATTTCCGGTAGTGAGGATCGATCGTGAAGACAATGCACTTGCTGCTCTGCGTCATCTGCTCGAGGAGATGATCCAGAAGATTTTGCAACGGCTCTGGGTGATTAATCGATTCGTCCAGGTTTATCCTGAAATTAAAATTAATGCCCATTATCGATTTTCTCCGGTGGAAATTCATATCTTGTTTATCGATTCACCTCTGGCCTTGAATAATCGAACAATCAGTGATGCATGTGATGAGGAATACCAAAAAGAACATTTTTTTTTTATTTTAAAAGTCCTGGTTCTCCGATTTATCGATCGTCTCCGAAGATTAAAAAATCGTGAAACGCCTGAATCGAGTTTACAAAACCCCACCGCAGTTTTCGTGGAATATCTCGGAGTCGGAGAGAAATGGGAAAATTTTTATGGATACCTTTTTTGTAGATCTCATTTCCCTCCACAAAAGATGTCCTGATAAAAATTTCGATATCTCCTTCCCATCGTGAGATATTCGCCCTGATGTATCCGATCTCGAGATTATCGAGGAAAAATCAAGGGAAAAAAAGTTTTACTGTTTCATTCGTTAATTGGATCCAATTAATGGATTAATGATCGGATTAATTCCAGGAATTTTTACCTTCAGGTCACGAGTGCCTCTGGGGAAATTAACAATGAAATTGTGGAATTTTTCAAAGCGCGGGCCGCTGTCGGTCTATCGAGAACGCGCATCAATCGATTGGAGATCATTAAAATTGAATCTCTTCGGATCAGAGGCCCTTGAGTACCAGGTAATTTTTTTATCAATCAATTCCACTTTCTCCTTGATTATTTACACGAGTAATTGCGCGATTGCAGGATAAGCTTTACCGATTTATAAAGAACACTCCGGAATTCGCGAGACCGACGAAACCCTGGACTCTGGACGAGCAGAGGAGACAATGCTTCAGACAAAGTGCTCTTCTCCTGAAAAATGATTTAATCGTAGGTATTTTTTATTATTTTTATTTGTTTTAATTAAAAATTTTTTTTTTCAATTTTTTTTTTCAATTTTTTTTTTAATTTGTATTTATTTATTTATTTATTTATTTATTGAATTCAGTGATAATTATCTTCGAATTGAGATGATTCGAAATTAATAGTTTACCAGTGGAAATTTAACCGATTCGAATTTTAATCGAGTGGTCAATACTTTTTTGGGAATCCCCGATTTATTTGGTTCTGTCCATCTGCGAATGATTGATTTTTTTGATTTTTTTTTAAATGTTCTGTAGGAATCGGTATCTGGACATCTGAATTTCTGTCTTGCTTACGACTCGTCGCCGCCGATCGTCTCAGGGATCATGTTCGCCATGGTGCCAGCGACGATCTACTCCCTGGGGACAGATCGCCATTTTGAGCTGATGTCGAAATTTCGGGAGAATGAAGTGAGTAGATATTCCACACGGAAAATTAACGATTTATTAATTACGATCTTTTGATGCACTAGCTGCGAGGATGTTTTGCATTGACCGAGGTATCTCACGGGACAAATGTCAAAGGAATGAGGACAACAGCGACGTACGACGTGGAGTCCAGGACTTTTATTATTAACACACCGGATTTTGAGGCAGCGAAATTCTGGATCGGCGGTTTAGGTGCGTCCAGGATCCATCAAATAATTAAATCATGACCACAGGATCTGATGTCCGACATTTTGACATGACTAAAAAATGATTATATATTTGCAGCTAAACAGGCGACTCACGCCCTCGTCTTCGCGCAATTGCGAACCCCAGACAACGCCTCCCATGGACTGCACATATTCGTGGTACCGATCCGAGACCCAGAGACGATGCTGACGTTCCCGGGCATCACCATCGGTGATTTGGGTGAGAAAATCGGTCTGAACGGCGTCGACAACGGCTACGTAATGTTCCATAATTACAGAATACCTAGAGAAAATTTGTTAAACAAAATGGGAGATGTGACGCCCGACGGAGATTACGTGTCACCAGTGAAGGATCAAAGCAAACGATTCGGTGCATCACTAGGTGCATTATCCCTGGGCCGAGTGAACATCACGAATATGTGCGCTTTGTACTGTTCCTTGGCGATGGTCATCGCTACGAGGTATTGCGCGGTGCGAAAACAATTCGGACCATCGGCGAATGAGGAATGGCCGGTCATCGAATATCAGTCACTTTACGGACGGTTGATGCCGTGGCTGGCGGTTACGTACGCCATTGAAATATTTTCCAGAGGATTCCTGAAAAGGACTGCCGAGTTCCAGGGGAAGATCCTCCAGGGGGAGAGGCGGGACGATCTGGCTGCTGAGGGTCTTGAAATTCATGCGTTATCATCAGCAGCTAAACCATATTGCGCATGGATAGCTAGAGATGCTATTCAAGATTGCAGAGAAGTTTGTGGGGGCATGGGGTATCTCAAGGTCGCACGATTGGGTGATTTACGGGCTGATCAGGATGCCAGTTGCACCTATGAGGGAGAGAATAATGTATTGATTCAGCAGGCCAGCAATTGGCTGTTGGGATTTTCCAGGAATTTTTATGAGAAACGGGAAATCTTCTCGCCTCTTGGTACCATTGGATTTCTGTCGCGTGGGGAGGAAATCCTTGAGGAGAAATTTAGGGCCAGTTCTTGGGAAGATGCTGTTGACCTTCAGAATATTGTCAGGGCTCTTCAGTGGTTGGTGTGTCATTATTTCAACGCAACTTACAGACGCGTGGAGAATCTCAAACGACAAGGGAAGAATCAGTTCATCGTCAGGAATGAATCGCAAACATTCTTCGCTCGTTCGTTGTCGCTGGTTTATGCAGAACACGCAGTTTTCCGGAAATTTTATAATACATTGAGCGATGAAAAATGGGGGAGTAATGAGCGAAGGGTTCTGCAAAAATTGTGTGCCCTGTATGGAGCTTCTGTTTTGGAGAGAAGACTTGGGGATTTGTACGCTGGAGGGTATGCCGATCCCTCGTCGAAGATGGATGAATATCTGAGAGAAGGGATTATTAATTTATCGAGGGACCTCGTTGATGAGGCAGTGGCCCTCGTCGATGTCCTGGCACCTCCTGACTTCATCCTGAATTCACCCCTCGGCGTGTCCGATGGAAGAGTCTACGAACACCTCGAGGAAGCCTTAAAACGGAATCCCGAGAACTTTGAGAGACCCGTCTGGTGGAGGGACATGGTCCAATCAAAGCTGTGATTTAAAATCTTAATTATTTTATTTTACTCCATTTTACCATTATTTTTTATTTTTAATACTCATTCATTCAAAAATCTCAACTGCAAGTTTTCAATTCGCCATTTCATCGCAATTCCGTGTGATGTATTTTATCACTCATTCCATCGAACCAGTGCCTGTAAACGTCGACGGGATCAATCATCCAGAACTTGTGGAAAGACACGGGCTGGTGGGACGCGAGGAAATCCTCAGGGTAATCCTGAGGCCGTGCTTGATGAAAAAATGGTGCATGCAAGGCGGGGATTCCCAGGCGAGACAAGCAGATGCCAAAGAGAAACATGTCGTCGGGGGTTGTCGGCAGTGGGCACCTGCAGCCAATCGACGAGAGGATCCGCTGGACCAATGGCAGGGAGAGGACCACGCCCGCCCCGCCCGTCAGATAATCATATCCAATCTCTTCTGTTGAACGGAAACCGTAACGCTCGCCAATCGCCATGGGGGTTTTCTCGTTGTAGCACGACAGGAGGCGCATCAGTCTGTCGACACTAAGCAGCAAATATCGAATTATCGGCGTGTCAGATAAGTTCAAGTCATTTTAGTCATGATTGAAATCGATTTTTATGAAATGTACCTCAGCAGCGTGTCGTCGTCGGCGATGATGAGCCATTCTATATTTTTTTCTTTCATCAGCTTCTCGGAATTTTGAAGGAGACCGTATGTTTTCAAACAATGACCTTCTGTCGTGTGTGGTACGAGGATTATATTCTCCAGGTCAGTATCTGGAATTTCGTTACAAGGGGATTTTTGCGGAATTTTTATCTTTTCCAGTGGTTTTTTATCAGAGCTGCAATTATTATACCTTTTTTATTACTGAAGAGGGCATAGTGCTGGGTCTTCCTCAGCCATGTTTTCATCAGGACGGGAATTCTACTCGCATGATTTTTATTGTACGTCTTCACAGCGAAAAAAACATTCTTCACTGGAACGGGATTCCCCTGAATACGAATGATTGTCTCGTCTACATATTTTATTCATAAAAATTCTCAATCGGAGACAGTCGAAAGATGTCTTTAAAAAATTGTTCACTTCATGGGAAAAAATCTGCCCGACGTGATGGTGAATTGAAGGCAATCAGTCATTTTAATACGCATTCAAAAATGCGAGGTGGGAGTGCTGCCATTTTGGGATTTATTGTGGCAAAGGGGAGGGGCCTCTATTTTTATAATTTTTCAATAAATGTTTAGAAGAATAAAGATACATTTTCAGATAAATCAGTTGACACGAATTTTTCTCCCATTTTAATACACACGATATAAAACTTACGCATTCTGGAAATTTTTTGGGATACGTGGCGCATCGACTGGTGGGGGTAACACAAAATTCTGATTGGTGAATCAACCGTTGGCCTTTTCCCGTGTTCATCACGAAATTCGAGAACTCGTAAGTTTCATCAATTATGAAATCATTAGCGGAAGGCAGCCCTGAGTGGATTCTCCCCCTGATTTCTTTCATCAGAACTCTAGAGATGACAAATCCGGATACGAGATTCGGGTATGACACTTTCCTGGGGCTGACAAAATGGTGGATAATGGTGGCCTCCGCGTCATGGAGGGCGTGGCCTAGCCACACAGGCTTCAAACAAAATAAATTTATTATCCCTAGAATCCGCTGAGGATAATTAAATGTTATAGTGATATTTTTTAAAAGGGATTACCTCCGAGGAATTAAATCTCGATAAAACATTCGTCAATATTTCCAACTTCACCGCAGTATTTTCGACGCAGAAAAAATACCATTTCGCGTCCGGAAATTTTGAGTAGAGAATAGGGACGAGAGGATAAATCGTCCAGCCGCCTCTGATTGCTTCTCTCCCGTTTTTCTCGTGAGTCAATAGAAATCTCGGAGGAGTTCTCTGAAGATCGTGGGCTTGTCCAATTATATCTTCTTTCAATAATTCGGATTGAGTTGCACTGTATTCATTTCTCTGACTCAGCACAGTGATAACGAGATCGGAAGCATCTAAAATTCATAATCAATTATTTATTAATCGAAATCATTAATTTTTTATTCAAGATTCACCTGATGCGATTACTCGGAAAATCCAGAGAAAGACCAAAAGATGTTGAGAATTTCCCATGATGTAAAAATCAGATTAATCATTCCTTTTTTTCTAAAAAAAAATGTAAACATTAATTGTAATAATTATAAATAATGAGAATAATTCGGGGATTATTGAATTCATATTTGAATCTCTCGCGCCTTGAACCGCGGAATTCAAAATCACTGAAAAAAATAGAGAATCAGAATTAAATATAATAAACAATTGATAAAATAAAAATCGTATGAAATCCAAAAAATATCGATCACACCATCACCTTTAAATCTTCCCAACCAGCAATTAAAAAACCATGACCTCGTTCAAAATAACCTCTAATTAAAAACATTAATCTCTAATTAATTCCCGAGTCGATTGACGAACGGGGAAATAATCGACGGATCGGGAGAATTTTTTATGATCAATCGGTTGTTAATTAGGGGTCGAGGCTGTCAAGAGGAATGTGCAATAATTTATGACAAAAATAAACTGAAGTGACAACTCTAGTCAAAATGATAACCGATTTTTGTGGGACGGAGGGAACGAGTGATTAGTAAAAATCCGTCGCCATAACAGCGACGGTATTATTTCGTCACGACGATTTATTTCGCCGTGATAATTTCATCGATAAATCGGTGGAAATCGGTCAAGTGACAGGCAAAATAATTCCCTGGGAGGTGGTGTTGACTTCCCAAGATAATAAACGGATTAATCCGTCTCCATCCCCTGAGGTATCGAGCCAGCTGGAGATTTTCTTTTGACGTGCCCTTGTTCTTCATTTTAATCGACTCGTGGAAAAGTCGAATTGTTTAAACAAAATCAACATTCAAACATGGCTTATTGAAAAAATGAAGGGTCACCGGATATTCACTGTTTCTCCATACGGAGGAGAGCTCATCTCTTTTTACGGTAACTGGGAATTTTTGGCGTTGGATTTTGGGCTTGGGGTTTGTCCTTGCGATGGACAAAAAATCGAAATCACATCATGGACAGCAGAGCGCCAATAAGAGCGCCACTGCTGAGTCTAAAAAAAATCAAGGTAATTATTTAACTTGTACGTTAAATATTTCGTCGTTGCCAATTCCTTGGGGACGATATTTTACGTTTACTCCATTTTCTCCATTTTCAGCTGCCAAAAAGCGTTTTTTTACTCAAAAAAAAATTGCAACGCATTCTTTTATAACAATATTAATTATTAATTGTTGAGAGGATATTGTTTGAATTGTTATTTGTGGATTTCTCTGGAAATTCATTTTGAAATCGAAAAATATCGACTGGAGAGAAGAAATTAATCGATTTTCATCCAGCAGTTCCAGATTTTTTTATTTATTAATTAATATTTATTTGAGGGATGGGTTTATTTCAGATGTCGTCAATGGTAAAGCTTTTCCGAAGGCACCACGTAGGCGTGAGTCACCTGGGGCCAATGGCTACTCCAAGATCGAACAATCTCGTAAATCCAGTCATCAGAAGGCGCGAAATTTTGATAAGAGACCCAAACCTAAAGGACAATATTATGGCGGTGCAAAGGAGGATCCCAAGGTGCAGTACCTCTTCCCCTAGAGGAAAATGGAATTCTCAAATTTAAAAAATCCCAAAATCCCAAAATCCAAAAAATCGAGAATTCTTTTCAACTCGTTATTCTCGATGTTTCTCGTTCCCTATCGAAATCAACGGAAAACGTTACAGGAATTATTTCTAGCTGGATGAATTCCCCACAAAAAAGCTCTCCTATTACTTTTTCTTGAAGTCAATAGTTTTTTAAATAAAATCGATTGATCGATTTCAGGTAGTGGATGAGGAAGTAGCCGAGTATGGCTCGGTGATGGCTCCAGGAAGTAAAAAGCAGAATTTGAATCATCTGTTGAATTTCCATTACGAACCCCGAGACAGGATGAATATTAATTCTAGTGGATGGAACAGTTATGGGAGATCTACCAACAATCGTTGGCTGCCACCAGTCCAACGACACAAATACAACAAAGAATTATTTCTGCAGGCGAATTGTCAATTCGTCGTAACGAGCGATGGAGATTACTCGATGCACCTGATCGACCCTGACACCCTAGTGGATTGGAAAATGATCGAGCAGATAAAAATCCACACCTCGGAGAGTCTCTCCTGTCCGATCTGTCTGTCTCCACCAGTCGCTGGGAAGATGACACGATGTGGTCACGTCTACTGCTGGCCCTGCATTCTGCATTATCTCTCACTATCAGACAAGAATTGGAGGAAGTGTCCGATCTGCTACGAGTCGATTCACAAATCAGACCTGAAGAGTGTCACAGAGATCACCCAGCAGCCCCTGAACATCGGAGACACCGTGAAACTCCGTCTGATGCGTCGTAGGAAGGGATCTCTCTTGGCAGTTCCCGTCGAGGAGTCAAATCGAGATCCTGACGACTTCTTCACAATCTCGGATCATGAGTCCACCCAGATCTACTCGAAACTCCTGAAGGCAGACGGTCGACATGTCGTTGGAATCATTGATGACGAGAGGAATCAACTGAAGCTAGAATTGATGGAGGACCCTCAGTCCCCAGAGAATTGTTTTATAGAGCAGGCACTTGCTGAATTGTCTGATAGAGAGGAAATAATTCTGAAGGCTATTGGAAAGGATGAGGAGAGCCCAGGGAGCAGAGAGGATAATCCTGAGGTGAATGACGGGATTCGGGAGACCTCAGGACAGCAGAACTCCAAGGACTCCAAGGACTCCAAGTTCTTCTATTTTTATCAGGGTGAGTTAAATATTCTATTTTAATATATCTTGTATTTATTTAATTATCACACTCACCAGCTGAAGATGGACAACACGTCTACCTCCACGCGATGAACGTGAAGATGCTGGAGGTGCAGTATGGCGACCTGGAGCACTCACCTCGTCTTCTGACAGGAAAAATCTTGGAGAAGGAAGGGGGAAGCTTCACTGAGGATCTCAGGAAGAGAATGAGATATCTGTGTCATCTACCCCTCACCTGCTCCTTCGAGATCGCTGAGATCGAGCTGATGGCACCTGTTGTGTCGCCTGATGTTCTTGACTACTTCAAGGAGCAGCTCGAGGTCAGAGAGAGACGCAGACGTCGACGGGAACGCGACGAGAAGAAACGAGAGAAGAAGATAACTGCTGAGGAGAACAAAAAATTGGGAAAATATCCGACACCCAAGGTTCACATCGAGTCTCACAGGCATTTCCCTGGGTGGCAGACCGAATTACCATCCTCTAGGTAATTAATTATTCCAAATATAAACCCCTGATTATTTTTTCTAATAAATATAAATTGATAAATGTGAGAATTAATTCCTTAAATTAATTTTGTGTTCCAGCGCTGCAGTTCCAACTCCTCCAGAATCAATTCCATCATCGAGTCTAGCCAGTAGTCCATCTCACAGTACCCTGGGTGATCCAGCTCCTCTCCTGGACTCCACGTGGACGACGTCCCCGAGTGATCAGGGCCCTTCCTTCGCCCAGATGCTGCGCAGTGAAAACTCCAAGAGCACGATGTGGTCATCGATGAGCCCATCCCTGCCTTCCAACAAATCCAATTGCCAGAATGATGATCATCCCCAGGCACCGAGTCACAGCCAGAGCTTCGGTGATGTTCTCGCTCTAGCCCTCGAGGCGTCAACCATCCATGAGGAACCAATCAGGGGAAAATCCAAGAGAAACAAGAAAAGGGGAAAGGCCACTCTCCTTTATGCAAGTGGCATGGCGAGATCTTCATGAATTTATTTATTTATCAGAATGCTTTATTTTTGGATAATCAAGGACAGGATGAGGAAGAGGAATTCTCTTCAATAATTAATTAATTATTATTCGTATAATTTTCAATCAAAAAAGCTCTTTCTCCAAAAATCAGTGTTTTTAATTAATTAATTAATTAATTAATAGATGAACTCATTCTGTCGATCATTATTTGTTATTAAATAGACCATTGGCGACAGTTTCTAGATTCCAATTTTGTGTAATCATCGAGGATAAAAATAGGAATGACTAATCCACGTTGTGTTATCGATAAATCGAATGTATGATGATATTCTCTGAATAAATAAATAAAAAAGGATTAAATTTTCCGTAAAACCCAGAAAAAATCCTGAATAAATATTCCCCCAGCCAAATAAACAACAAAAAAAAAATTAGGATGGACGAGAAATCGCTTTATTTACATGAAAAAAAAAATGGCATATCTAGTACAATACCTCGAGGTTCGAATGTTCAATAAATAATTAAAGTAAGAGATTATAAAAAAAATGTGAATGCTATCAAAGTTGGAAAGTGTCTCAACGCAGATTTCCGTCCATATCCCAAAACGTCAGACCCCGAGGTCCTGAATCCCTTAATCGACCTCCTCGATGGTTGGTCCAGATGCTCCACCACCACCATGAGCAGCACCAGGAGCGCCACCAGCACCAGGCATACCGCCAGGCATGCCTCCAGGCATTCCACCAGCGCCCTGATACAATTTCGTGACAACTGGACTGCAGATTGACTCGAGCTCCTTCTGCTTGTGCTCGTACTCCTCCTTCTCAGCGAGTTGATTGGCATCGAGCCACTTGATGATCTCATTACACTTGTCCAAAACCACTTGTTTGTCACTGGCTGACAACTTGTCCTTGAGTTTTTCATCCTCAACAGTGCTCTTCATGTTGAAGCAGTAAGCCTCAAGCCCATTCTTAGCTGAGATTGTCTCCTTCTGCTTCTCATCCTCATTCTTGTACTTTTCAGCATCATGGACCATTCTCTCGATGTCCTCCTTGCTGAGACGTCCCTTATCGTTGGTTATCGTGATCTTGTTCTCTTTTCCTGTTGATTTATCGACAGCTGAGACATTCAGAATGCCATTAGCATCGATATCAAACGTAACTTCAACCTGTGGTACTCCACGTGGTGCTGGTGGTATACCAGAGAGCTCGAATTTTCCAAGGAGATTATTGTCCTTGGTCATGGCACGCTCACCCTCGTACACCTGGATCAATACACCGGGTTGATTGTCAGCGTAAGTGGTGAATGTCTGGGTCTGCTTCGTGGGTATTGTTGTATTTCTCTTGATGAGAGCAGTCATAACACCACCAGCCGTTTCAATTCCCAGGGAGAGGGGTGTTACGTCGAGCAGCAGAAGATCCTGGACAGCCTCAGATTTGTCTCCATGGAGAATAGCTGCTTGGACAGCAGCTCCATAGGCAACAGCCTCATCAGGATTGATGGATTTGTTAAGCTCCTTGCCGTTGAAGAAGTCCTGGAGCAGTTTCTGAATTTTGGGAATCCTGGTGGAGCCACCAACGAGAACAATATCGTGGATCTGTGATTTATCCATTTTAGCATCACGAATGGACTTCTCCACAGGCTCGAGTGTACCCCTGAAGAGATCAGCGCACAGCTCCTCAAATCTGGCACGAGTTATCGATGTATAGAAGTCAGTGCCCTCGAACAACGAGTCAATCTCGATGCTCGCCTGCGTCGACGATGAGAGGGTCCTCTTGGCGCGTTCACATGCTGTTCTCAACCGACGAAGTGCTCTCTTGTTGCTCGTCAAGTCCTTCTTGTACTTTCTCTTAAACTCCTGGACAAAGTGATTGACCATCCTGTTGTCAAAGTCCTCACCACCCAGGTGAGTGTCTCCAGCTGTTGATTTCACCTCGAAGATACCGTCCTCAATTGTCAGGATGGACACATCAAAGGTACCACCACCTAGATCGAAAATCAGGACATTGCGCTCACCTACTGTCTTTTTATCGAGACCGTACGCAATAGCTGCTGCTGTTGGCTCATTGATTATTCTCAGGACATTGAGTCCAGAGATTGTGCCAGCGTCCTTCGTTGCCTGACGCTGCGAGTCGTTGAAGTACGCTGGTACTGTTATCACGGCGTTTGTCACTATCTGGCCAAGATATGCCTCTGCTGTCTCCTTCATCTTCACGAGAACCATCGAGGAGACCTCCTCCGGGTAGAAGGTCTTTGTCTCGCCTTTGTACTGCACCTGGATCTTCGGCTTCGTGTTGTCGTTGATCACGGAGAAGGGCCAGTGCTTCATGTCAGCCTGAACTGTCGCATCGTCGAAACGACGACCGATCAGTCTTTTAGCGTCTGTAAATTATTTTATATTTTATTTTACCATTAATATCAAATGAAATTAAATTATTAAAAAATTTCAGAAATACGAATTGTCCAATTAATTAATCAATTAATAAATTGCAAATGAATTTTCATGAGAATTTTTCGTCTTCTATAAATGAAAAAAATGAGAATAAAATCTATACTCTAATAAAATTATAAATAAAATAATGAAATTAGGAGATAATTCGGAAATCGTGAAAATAGAGCGTCATGTTCGGCCTCGTCATGTCCCAAATCGACGTGAGGGAAAATCTCCAAAGCAAAATGGAGGACTCACCGAAAATGGTGTTGTTAGGATTCATGGCGACCTGATTCTTGGCAGCATCACCAATCAGTCGTTCAGTATCAGTAAATGCGACATAACTAGGTGTTGTCCTGTTCCCCTGATCATTGGCGATGATCTCGACTTTTCCATGTTGAAAAACCCCGACGCAGGAGTAAGTCGTTCCAAGATCGATACCAACAGCGGGTGCCTTCGACATTTTGTATGCTGCACGAGAAATTCAATTCAATGGATTAAATAACGAAAAAAATAATGGAATGACGATAAATAAATGAAGAAAAAATTGATGGAAATGTATGGAAATTCGTGGAAATCTAGGGAAGTTCAGGGGGTGGAGGGAATTTTCATGACTGGAGAATAATTATATTACCTTTCGATTGGAATTAGAGATGACTTTAACGCGAGTTGTTACTCGTTCAACGATTCGCAACGTGAGTGACGAGAAGTTGCCACCGCGCCCGAATATAACACCCAAAATCCGAGGTCCCGACGCTTCTGGAATGTTCCTCTAGAGTCTAGTCCATTCTCGGCCAATCAGAACCCACCGTTCGCCGGATCCCGCCATTAATTGACGGTTTTTAATCGACAACTCGAGTCACAACAGATCATAAATTCCACAAACGTCTCCTCAAATTCGAAAAAAATGGACTTTTCCCTCGATTTTTCCTCTCAAAATATTTTTTTTTGACATTTCATCGCGAGGAGCGGTGCGAGCCTTTTTGAAAAATCCCGCTCGAGCATGCGTCATCTCGCCACCGGAAGTGGCGCGGGCACATGGCAATTTTTTTTTACATAAATTTTTGGAGCCGCGTCGGGAGAAAAACCAGTGGAATTTTCCAATTTTCCGATATTTTTACTCGTTCTTGATAATTCTCGATATTCGCGGGAAATCCGGGGATTTCCGGAGGATTTAAATTAATAGAAAAAGGGGTAATTAAGAAAAAATCATCATTTGATTTTTCATTCAATAATTTCTTCATCTGTTTCATGATTTATTGAGCATATCTCGAGAACCACCGGTCCTCCGAAAAAATAACAAAAGATCTTTTTTCTCTAGGATCTCGAGAGCTACAAAAAATTCCCCAACGGTTTTTCCCGGGAGTCAACATTTCTCGAGATAAATCGACGATTGCAGATAAAATGGAAATGATACATTTACATCATTCATTTATTCGTCCAGTCGATTTCAGTCGGGCCCCACGTGGACTGAGTCATCAAATCAAGGCCCCACTCAATGCTGTCTCCTTTTCTTATTGTCACCAGTCCAATTATGGATTATCCTCACTCGTAGATATTCGTTGAACTCTGAGAAAAGCGCGTCAATGTCGACCTCGAGATGATTTTTTCCCATAACCTCGGGATTTTTCATTTTTCACGAGGACCTCTCCTCGAGTTATTTCCATCGATCCGATGAACTCCATTGACCTCCATTTTTCGTCAATATTTTTTTCTAGGTCGTGTACCTCGAGGTATGATTATTGATAATGACCTCAACATTAATTCTAATAATATCTTCATTATCCCATTTCCAACGATTTCCCTTTTTAAATAATTATCATTATTCTTAATATCTAATTATGATTATTACTTAGTGATAATTAATTAATTGTTTTTTCTGCATAATTATTTGAATTGGAAAATTTATTTCAAATAATTATTCTTGGATTTCAGAAAATGTCTGTTTGAGTTATTCCATCGGTTTGTCGAGTGCCTGTGCAGATCGTTACTGTGAAGGCCATCCCCTGGGAGAAGAGGGGCAGAAAATCATTATAATTGCCGTGCAACTCTAATTTCTCATTTTCCCTCGGTAAATTAATCGAAATACGGACAAATAAAATCACATCCATTAATTTTTTATCCTGATCACACAATTCCGTAATGATAAATTAATTAGAGTGACAAAATTAATTTGTACACCCCGTGGATTTCACGTTTGAATTTCCCGGGGTTGCTAGGGGCCCTAGGGTTCTGGGAACAAGGTTATGTTTGACTGGAACACATGTCCGAGTAATCATCGACAACAAAACTTTCCCCGGAGACGTCTCCAGTCCTAGAATGCCCGCGTACTGACCATCTCCAGGAGTCGTCAAAAATGCAAGTGAAAAATTTAAAGAAGACGACGAAGAGGAAGAAATCCGGAAAGAAAGAACCCGAGGATCACCTGATTACCAAGAGAAAAGGCGGTGGAAGTATCATCGATCATCGTCCCCTGTTCTCCAGCAACGGGGAACTACTCTACGTCGTGTGGAAGCATGTGATTCGTAAATACAGCACTCAGACCGGTGATTTCGTTGGAGAATTCGAGGCAGCGGAGGTCAAGCTCTCAGGGATATCATTTTACTCCGACAATTTCAATACAATCGTGGGTTGCACCGAGACAGGTGACCTCATCAACTGGAATTCCCAGAATGGTGTGATAACGAGGAAGCTGAAGCTGAAGACAGAGGACGAAGTGAGAATATCAACCTTTCACATCATAAATTATAAATCAAAATCAGGTAAAAGCATCAACGAGGCTCTAGTGACGTACACCAACAAATCCTCAAACAGCATCCACCTGGGGCTCTTCGACGTGGAGACGGGGAGCGCCACGAGGTCGAGATCGATTCCCTGCGGGCCAACAGGTGCCTACTGCGTGGATATAGTTGGAAATAATGGTGATAACCTGATAGCCCTGGCCCAGGATGTGGATCTACACGTGATCCAGCCCCTGAATGACCTCAAGGGAAAGCTCCACAAGATCGGTTTAACTGGTAGAAAGCTCACCTGCGTGACAGGCCACCCCGAGGAGGAGTGTGTGGCTGTGGGTGACTCGTCAGGTCGTGTCCTGGTGTACAGAAATCTTCTCCAGCGTCCAGTGATGGGATCTTATCACTGGCACACACTTCCAGTCACTGAGATCGCCTTCAGCAAGTCCGGTGGACATATGTACACTGGAGGATCTGAATGCGTTCTCGTTAAATGGACACTGGCTAATCCTCACCACAAGTCCTTCCTTCCACGTCTACCAGCACCGATTAAACACCTGACTATTGCACCAGAGAATATCTACGTCGCTGTATCAACTCTGGACAATGGAATAGTCGTTGTTAATCCTCAGAAGAAGCTCACGTCTGTCATTCAGAATTTTACCTGGGGTGTCACAGCCTCCAGCAGGGGGAGATTTCCTGCTGGACTCATTCTGGATCCCAGAACTGGTAGTCTCGTTCTCAACAGCAGAACTGGACACGTGCAGTTCTTCGATACCCACAGGAAGTCCCTCCTCTACAATATCAACATCACAGCCCAGAATTTTCTCACGCAGGAGAGAGCAGCTGTCATTGTCAATACTGAAGTGACCAGAGTGTCTATTAATCAGGATGGAGCATGGATGGCAACAGTCGAGGAACGTGACGACAGGGTCTCCACACCAGAAGTGAGACTTAAATTCTGGAGGTTTAATTCCCAGAGGCAGATTTTTTCATTGAACACTTGCATCGAGTTGCCCCATGAGCTGGGGATCAATGCCCTTGGGTTTCAACCCTCTGGGAGTCTCGATGGAGAGGGCATTGCTGCTGTCACAACTGGAAGGGACAGGAAGTTCAAGATCTGGGGAATTGTCGAGGGGACTGGTGACAGGGGTAAACACTGGGCTTGCTATGGAGTCGAGAGCTACAGGGATTTACAGGTGACTGATGCTGGATTCTCCGTGGACGGTTCCCTCCTGGGTGTGGGATTTGGCTCGAGTCTCACGATTTGGGGGCCTGAGGATATGGCCTTGAAGTGCTCACTGACCCACCGGAGATATCCCCAGGTGATAAAACGAGTAGAATTCGGGAAGAACGAGAGCTGTCACCTGGTGGTGGTGGGATCTGACGAGCACATCGGTGTCTGGAATCTTTTGACCTTGAGTCTCACCTGGTCTGTCCACCTGAAGCTCCAGGTCCTTGTGGCTGATCCATGCACCAACCTGATGGCTGCATTCTCCAGGGATAATTCCCTGTTTATCTTCAATCCCCAGGTGTCGACGCCGATTTACGTCAGGAGGGGTGTCCTCGAAGGAGAGTCTGTGGTCCTGGGGGCGTGTTATGTACCCAATGACAAGGAGAAAAGGGGAAAAGGCCTGTGTGAGTGGCAGAGGGAGAGCCAGTTGTTCTTCATTGATGATAATCAGGAACTTCTGGCTCTCGAGGACGAGCGGGAGGGTGGGGTACTCTTCGAGGGCCTTGGGGATCGGGTCCTCAACTGGCCCAGCACTCCCTTCGGCAGGATCATCGCTGAGGAGAGCACCAACAACGTCCAACGCGCGAGTTTCGTTCATGATCACCTGGGGACTGGAAAAGGAGTCGTCGAAGAGGTGAGTCTCATTTTCATTAAAATTCAAAATCCAAAATTCATTATCCTTTTTCAAAAATCTCCAATTTTTTCAAAGTTCACTATATATTCCAATAAATTACATAAAATCCTGCGATAATTATCAATAAAATGATTTTATAATAAAGATCGGTAATACTCTAACGAAGAAATAAACGGTTTACAATTGCATACGTAAAAGTACAACCGGAGAAATTTCGAAAAATTCCTCCAAATGAAAAATCCATTCACAAACACAAGATTAATTAATTACGCAGGGGCTACGCATGAGGCGATGGGAATTCAATGAATCGGTAATTCCTCAACGATTCTGTGTTGGTAGTATCGATAATATTCTGACAATCGGCAATCCCTGGGAATTTAAGTAGTTGTCTGGCGGATTCTTGAAATGATAACTGGTATCGTCCAGTTTATTTCTTATTTGTCAGTGTTTCCTTGAGAGACGATAATTCCTGCACCGGCGAACTAGATCGAATTTTCGGTAGCGAAGACAGTGCCACTGGGGTATCTGCCTCATATTCTCCATCGCCTGAAATTAATTCGACAATAGAAAACGATTTATTCATGATTCAATTGCAGAAGAGGAATGACTCACAGTCAATAAATTAATAAATTCAGATCTAATCATAAATTGAATTTTATAAAAAATTACTCATCACTGCGAGTATTCATCAAAGAATTATTTGACCTTGGGACTATTTATTACAGCATTAATTATCACATAATTGACTAATTACGTTTGATACATTTTCTTTTTTATCAGATTGATGTAAACACTGGGATTTTATTAATTTGATTTTATCTCAAGTTTTCTAAACGGAGAATTAATATATTCGGATTTTAATTGTTTTCCTTGTTTTCGCTTCGTTTATTTTTTATAGAAATGAATTTGTTGTTAAAAATCACTGGGGGATGGGTTTGAAATGAGAATAGGATCTACTCAACTGCCTCTGGATCACTGGCGGGAAATCCTCTGGCCATGGCCACCATCACACCGAGAACAATCAGAACGAATGGTACAAGCGAAAAGATGAGCTTCATTCGAGCAATTTGTCTCCGTTAAATTCAGATGTCAAATGTAATCAAGAAATTTAATTTTTTTTTTAAGAAAACAGGTTGATGTATCTGTCTTGGAGTCTCGACAGTCACTGGAGTTCGTGAAGAGTCGAGATGATTTAATATAGAGTGACATCCCCACCATCTTCACACGTCTCTGTCTTTCGTGATGAAAGCAAGACTATCTCTGGTCTCCCTTTGCACGTGGGACGTCTCCCCAGCATCAGCTCCCTTGACCAGGGGTTGCCCACTTCCACTTCATTTCCTCCATCAAATGATGTCCTGTAGTGCCTCGAGAGGACAATGTATTTCCAGATTTCCAGATTTATCAAATACCAAAGACACCTTCATTCAGACTCCACGGATGTACCTGGTGCGGGCCGTCGGGGAAGATGTCCTCGAAGGATATCTCTATTTAGACTCTAGACCTGAATTAATTCCTGATAATTATCAATTCCTCTGGAATTATTGATCCATCAGGGATGAAGTCCCAAGAATTCTTCAGCTTCTCACGTGAAATTCTGTGGGACATCTCATACTTTAATATTAATAACAATAATCTTATTTTTCAGGCCCTTAGAAGAGATCCCCTCCTGCACTTGCTTCCTGCAATTGAATGTCATGTATCCATATCAGTGTTACATTCTCTCTCCACTCGGCAATTTGTCCCAGATTATGTCAGATCAATTGTGGGTGCGATGACCTGCGATTTGTCATGTAATTTCACGGTGTTAAATGATACAAAGGGAAAAGATAGTGAACAAATGAATAAGAAAAGGGAGGAAAGGCCCAAGTCAAGTGGAACGGGTCAACAGGAAAGCCTCGTGGGTAGATTTTATTGGAGTTACACCAGGGGTTTACGTGACTCTTTCGTCTTCACCTCTGAGTCGTCAGTAAATGATTGATTGAGATTATTTTATCCAATTCCAGATGTCCAGTCATTAGTGGGGATATCCAGGAATTTTTTTACAGCATCTACGATCAAATTTCTGCTTCAATTTTTATTTCTTATTAATCATCATCTTCATCATTTGTTACTGCTTCTTACGGGTCTTTCGGATTGATGCATCGAGGCCAGATGTGGAGTCTATTGTGTCATTGTGTTTAGTTTAAACAATACCATGAGTTTCTACTGTTTAGACCTGACGTGTGGGCCTATCTCACGCTCATATTTTGTATGAGAATTGGAAATACGTGGGCTGATGCGTCAGAATGAATCAACCCAGATAAACTAAATTGTGGAAATTCAGAATTCAGGTCAAAGTCTCTAGATTCTTTTGAGATTTTTTCACTCGGACTTTATCCTAGCCACTAGATCATATCTGATGTTATCAAGACAAAATGTCAATTAATTTTTGAAACTCAAAATTTCTCTCCTTTTTTTATTTTTTAGCTCCTGACATTACCTGCACACACTCTCCCACCGATGCGATTGCTCTGTGGACCCTTCATCCTCTCCCTGAGGGCGAAACCGGGGAATAAGAGGAAAAATAATGACGACAAGACCTCGAGGTATTTTACAAAGTCATTTATTCAAAAAGTCACTGGATATTTCGTCCAATTGCACAATTATTCTGGTCTTACCGGATAATTTGACGGTTTTTTTTTTATTACTGAGATTTTTGATTTCAGTGACGCAAACAGTGAGTCAGAGAATTCTGACGACAGCGACGAGGATGACGGAATTGATCCGAGAAATCATCTGGCTATCGAGACGATTCCCACGGATGTCAGACGTCTTAATGATAATGACGATAATGACGCGAAACTCGTCAGCTTGGACTGGAGTTTTCTGGCGAGAATCGTGCCGAGTTAATACGTCTGTTGCTTTACGTTATTATCCGAATAAATTTATTAATTTTTAAGCGACTAATTCAGCAATTCTCACAGAATTCCTACAATTATCATATGAAAGACTAATTAATAGAATTATCAAAGAAAATATTGAAATCATTAGAATTGATTTCGTAGGAGTAAAAAAACATTCGTTTGAAACAAACGATGAAAATTCTCGAATTAATTCACAAAGCAATCAAAACGAGAGACAGTCACGAGAAAAGAGATTATTCAATCATCAACAGGGAGCGGAAAATTCCTCGACCTTGAAAGACATTTCCACGAGTTCCCTGACAGTCTCCTGGATCCTCTCCCCATAACTCACATTTTCCCTCATGATCCCGAGGACGATGTCCCGCCTGTCCTCGAAGTAGAACTGCTCGTAGCTCTCGTTCTGATCCATTATCTCAGCCCCAACGGTTCCATCGAGGAGAACCGTTGGAAAATAGAGAGCAGCGGTGCAACAAGCGGCTATTCTCTGCTCCTCGTACCCCTGGAGGACCTCCTCGAGGGTGGGAATTTTCCTCGTCACGACGACGTCTCCTAGCTTCTCCAGGAGCTGCTCCCAGTAGTAATTGAGGAGTTCCTCCTTCTTGGAGTCCCTCAACTCCCGTGAGGCGCACAGGTAGAGGAATTGCGCTAGGTCGTGACCCACTGGTGAGTACCTGAGGAGAAATCACCGCAATTTCATTTTTTTTTATCAAGAGAAATAATTATTTTTCTTTTATCAACGATAATAATCATTTTCCCACCTAAACAACTGGAAGTCCACCAGCTTGCACTCGGGGGGATCTGCGTCGTTGAACATCAAATTGTTTCCCCAGAGGTCACCGTGGGAGATGACGTTTGTTTTAGATTTCGATGACTCCATAGCCACGAAAATTCGGTCGAAGGTCTCGGGGAGGCGAGAGGGATTCAGGCTCATCTCCTCGGCGACTCTGATCGCCAGGTCCACACCTGCTAGAAACCACTTTCTCCTTCTTTCAGATCTCACGAACGCCACCTCGTACAGCTCCTCGGGGAAGATGTCCTTGAAGGACTTACCCATACGCTCTTCTGCGATCAGGGATGAGGAGTGCAGACTCGCGAGGGCACGCAGACCTGAATTAATCCATGAAAATTATATCTCCAGATGGAATTATCGATCTATTAAAAGGGAAATGGTGCATCCTGACTACTAGACAATAACGACATATTAATATCAATAATGACCTGATTTAACAATAGCTTCATCGAAGAGTTTATCCCTCATCTTGAACCCGAGTAAACCCAGGTCCTCGAAGATGAGTGCATTCTCCTTAACGAGGTAACACCTAGGGCACCAGGTGGGTTCTGTAGAGTCGATGGTCATGAGGGGTGAAATTTTCGTGAAGAAAGTCGCCTCTTTCTCGAAAGTCCTGGACTCCTGCGCGTAGAGCAGCTGCAGAGGGCTGTCCAGGGGTAGAGCCTTGACAAAACAGCTGATCTCACGCTTCTCCGTGTTATCCTCTTTAATCAGAATTCTGAGGTGACGATGAGCCCCGAGGAATCCCAATTTCTCCGAGGAGTAAGAGGTCAGGGTAAAATCTAGTACTTCAGCTGATGGACCCACAGCAGCTTTCGTTATGAGTTTCGTGTCATGGAGACTGACGAGACAGCTCTTGTCAGACATCGTTGGGGACTTGGACAGTCTCGAGAAGTCTAGGTCTTTATACAGGGATTTATTCTCCGGGATCAGTGGGGAATTGGTCGGCAAATAGAGGCTCATGACGACGTCAGGGTGATCCAGGATTAGATATTTGTGCGAATCAGGAGCCAGTAGGGGATCTCGATGAAACTCAGAAGACTGGCACCCATAAATAAACTCACGACACTTCCTACTGATACTGAAAATCAAAAGGTCAGGTCCTCATCTTCATCAATCTTTGTTATCTATGAATCCCATCTCAAACAAGATTATGTCTTCATCTCAACCCATCGGAAAAATCGAAATGTCAAAATTCTGTTGCATCATTAAACTCTCGTTAAATAATCGAATAAATCATGTAATTAATCCAACAACTTCAGGGATGACTCAAGATTTTTCGATTGGAGCTCAGGATTTCCATATTTCGATTTTATCTAATTAAAAAATCACTCACGATCATTAATATAATATTTATTTATGATAGACCGTAAATTAACGAGCGCATCTACCAGTCTCCAAAAATAGGCCTCCCGTCGCGGCCCGATATCTCAAGATCGGCAGAGTGAATAATCCCAAAAATCATTTCATTTTCAAGGCAATTCATCCCTCTAAAAAAATGATTCTAAACCCATCGAAATCGCATCATTGAATCCCGAGATATCGACGAGCGCACGTTAAAATCGGTTGCAACGAGGCCTGATTACAGTTATTCAAGCAAAAAAGGTGGGGATAAACAATTGATAACGATTGGGACTCACTGATAACTTGAAGAAGAGACCGGGTGGCATATCTCTCGTACTGAATACTCGGCCCCGGCAACATATTAACCTCAATCTGCATTAGCGCCCCTCCGGTAAAATTCTCAGTCTCGTATTTATTGAGACTAAAGTCATAGACAATGCCCTCGCAATCTGGGAGGCAGTCAGCCTGACTGGTACTCTTGACACCCTGAACAAAGAGATAGCCTGCAACCAATTCTGAAACATTACAAACTCTCATCTCTGGGATCCTAGGGAATATGTGGCTTATGCAGCCGAACATGCGGTGCATATTTCGCATCTGGTGCTCCATCAGACAGCCGTTGTAATTGTAACGCTTCATGTAGAGATTTCCACCGGTCTCCGATGACATACGACATTTTCGCTTTGACATTGGCATCTCTATCACCTCTCGTTGATTTTTCATTCCAACAGCTGTCACATCCACAACAATCAACTGGCGTTCCTTCAGCTCAACCCTTTTATCCAGACTTGTCTCGGATGTTGGGTATTCGTACCGATTCGTCAGCCATGCCTGCAATATTTATCCACAAATTGTCATGGTAAAACTTTTGAGTAATTAACTTCAACAAGCCTTAATTATTTTGCATTATTATCGTTGTTAGTCCATTATTATTAATTATTATTGAAACAAATCACTGAAGAATTGAAGAGTTAACTCGATGTTCGCCATTTTTACGCACAGAGGCGGTCCACAAAATGGCGGATCGAGTTGAAGCCTGGGAACTCCTCAATTCTTTAGTTCTGTTGTAGAATTTAGAAATCAGATACCCACAGCTGGAAGTTTTCCCTTTTTACTCTTCAGCAAGACGGTGAGCCTTCCCTCCTGCTTCCTGTGATCCATGACGAGTCTCAATCCTGTCTTGTTCCCGGGCTTCATCGTCTGGACAGAACTCGACGAAAGACACAATCCGCTGTTCGATTGCAGAGGAAAGAACAGCTCGCAGCAGTCGATCTCCTCGTCATTCCACAGGCACTTCTCCAGGAGTTCCCCACATCTCGGTTGTATCAACCCCATGATCTCGGTGAGCTCCTCCTCGGTGGGAATTTTCTCTGCTTTAACCCCAAGTTGTGGATAATCCAGAACAGTTCTGAAGTTCAATTTTCTTTTTTTCATGTAGCTAAAAGAAAAAATTATCTTTATTTAAAAAATATATGATATATAATATATATATATGAATATATATGAATATATATGAATATATTTATTTACGTATTATATATGAAAGGAAGGAAATTGAAGGAATTGAATTAATTGTTTATCAATTATTGTTTATTTACTCTATTGCTTGATTGTTGATATCTGCGCAGAAGTGGAGGGCTGGTATTTCCGCTTCGTACTCCAGGTAATTAGTTCCCATTGTTATTGATACGTCTCGGGATAGGGCGAATGTTATTGTATTAATTACCATTAAACCACATGCCCAAATACTCGCGCCACACGAAATTGTCCAGAATAATCTCTCGGTCCAGTGTCTCTCCGGCTCGACTAAATATTTAAATCCATGAATACTCGAGTTCTCCAGGTACTGTTTAAATAATCTCCAGAGAAATGGCGGCCTCTTCTCCATTTTTTTCATTTTATTTTGTTAATTAACTCCTTGGAAAAAATGGGGAAAAAATTCGAGAGTGAAGTCGTTACGGATTTCGGATTTTTTTTTCGTTTTTGCGGAATATCTCGGGATTTTGAAGAGATAGCGGAATTTTTTATGGGACAACTTTTGGAGGGGAGGTTGAGATCTGGGGAAAAGGTGATTATGAAAATTTTTGTATTTCTGTTGGATTCGGAGATATTTCTCTGGGAAGGTGTGGAGGAATTTGAGAGGTGATGTGGGGATTCACGCGCCGATGGGGGAATCCCGCGAGGAATCAATAAATTTTTATTATTAATAATCCAGGAAATGTCTGATAGTCACGGAAGCTGATAGCCATCGGGAAAACATTATAAATAAATAATATTGTCCACTAGAATTTTTTTACCGAGAAATTTCGCGATGGTATCATTTTAATCACACGAATTTGACTTTCAAAATAATTATTTATTTAAATATTTTATTATCCTCAACCCCACTGCAACAATAATAATCATCCTCGTTATTATTATTGTTATTATAAATTTAATTTTTCATCTCCGAAAATGCGGGAAAAACGGAAAAATCCCGAAGAAGATTTGAAATAAAAAAATGGGAAAATCTACCGTAAAAAATCAAATACCGGAAACCGGAAGTTGCGCAGATGGCGCCCCGGGATTTTCGTTATTTTCGATGGTCTCGAAAAATTCCACCTCTCGCTTCACTCCGTAAAAAAAAAAATCGGACAAGATTACTTCCATCGTCTCGTAAAATCCAATAGCCCTTTCGGTTGAATTATCTTTATTTTTTTGCTTTTCCTTTTTTTTTGTGACTGGCTAGTGGCAACTCCGAAATTCTGTGGGATTTCGCGCGATAGGTAAGAAAAATTGAGGTTTATTTCTGTAAAGAGGCCACATGTGCTGAAATTTTTTTTGGCCATTGAAATTTGAGTTATTCATATTCTGGGGATGGATTTTTCATCAGATTCTGGTGAAAGGAAGGGAAGATTATTGTGCCCTGAGACATGGCGTTGAATCCGGCGTACGAGGACATTGGAAAGGGATTTGTTCAGCAATATTATGCATTATTCGATGATCCCACTCAGAGGTGCAACCTCGTCAACATGTACAATGTGAGTTTATTATTTATTTATCATGATACACATCAGCAAAGATTAAAGAATAAAAAATGATCAGACATAACCTCTCCTACTAATTTTTTTCCAGACCGAATCGTCATTCATGACGTTTGAGGGGATCCAGATTCAGGGATCCGACAAGATTATGCAGAAACTGAATGTAAATCTCTCTTTTCTCTAATTTTTATTCATTTTCACGTGATGTCGCCATTTTTTCAATCATTTTCGAGAGTTTTCCCAGTTTTTTTGGTTTTACCGTTTGTTAAGAGGGGATTATCTCGGAGCCGGAGGGGTTCACAGGAAAATCATGAGGGACTTTTTTGTGGGGAATCTTGTGAACTATAAAAAAGTTGGAATATGTTTTTTTTAAATACCCAACCATTCTCGAGATAATTGTCATTTATTTCGGGGTTGCTTTCTGATAGGTGTGATTTTTTTTATTATCTTGTGGAGTAATGAGGAAAATTGGGAAAATTCTGGGATGAAGGAGAAATTAATGGAGAGAGCAAGGAGAGCATGATGTATGTGAATATATTATATATTTTCAGAGCTTAGGTTTTCAAAAAATCACTCGGGTACTGACTGCCGTGGATTCACAACCGATGTTCGACGGCGGAGTCCTGATCCACGTCCTCGGGAGGCTGCAGGTAATAAAAATAATTAATCCCCGAGACCCTAGAGCTGTACAATGATCCCAGAGTTACCAGAACATTCGAGGAATCCTAGAAATTCCACCCAATATACCTCAATAGTTAAAAAATTGAAAATAAACGAGTCGAATAAATTCTCCTGGTGCTTCTGGGACTCGTCGAATTAATAGTTTATTATCAGAATAGTTGATACTAAGTATTAAAAATGATTGGGCAGACTGATGAGGATCAGCCCCACGCGTACACCCACACATTTGTCCTGAAGCGGATCGGCACCAGCTTTTTCGTGCAGCACGACATCTTCAGACTCGCGTTGCACGACACTGTCTAAGGCCAATAAATAAATAATAGATCGTCCATCGATCATCGTTATAAATCGTGGTAAAGGCAAGCTAACGTATGGAAATCATTGCATTAGTTACCCACACCTCATTAACTATTTATTAATCCAACGACACATGATTTTCCATTGATTAAAATATTTAAATCATCCTAGATTAATTTGAGAGTTGTAATGAGTTTTTTTTTTATATTTTGTGCTTTGAGTTTTTTCCATTGTAATACCTGGAATCCCCTGGGAGATTTCCCTGAAGATGATGTTCACCATTTCATTGGAAAAATGAAATATTTCATTCATTCAAGTAATTAATATCTTTACGTTCATTAGATAATCATTGATTTTTTTTTAAAACTTAGGCTGATGAAGATCCTCCGCACGCATTCTCGCAAATATTCGTGTTGAAATCACTGGGGAGTGCGTTCTTCTGCCAGCATGACATATTCCGTCTCGCTATTCACGACACAGCGTAATTAAAATCGGCAGCAGACGAGACGTCACAGGACTAGAAAATCACCTCGGAACGAGGGGAAAATAATCCCGAGGTGCCATCAAATGGCCCTCCAGAGCAATTAATACCGTACGATCCCAATCCCTCGAGAGAAAATTTCATGAATTATTCAGTCAACATTGTACACCTGTCGTCTTTGCGTATTATTTTATCTAGATTAAATTTTTATACAGGAAAGTAATGCTTCTATGCCGTAAGAATAAAACATTTAATGATTAATTACATTTTCACGCATTCTTCGAGGATTTTCTGTTACAAATTGCCCCTTTTCTCCTGCTCTATCTCGATTGCCTCGAACAACGCCTGGAAATTCCCAGCGCCGAATCCCTGGAAATATTCATGTATTTAAACGTGATATCTAATAAATTTATGGAATTATTCCACTCGAAAATCAATAAATAATCTCCAATTTCTCTTTCGAATCCCTAGGTAAAAAATTTGGGTTAAAATCATGGGTTACTACCCTGAAACATCAACTCACGTTATGATTTCTCCGTTGAATAATTTCAATGAACAAAGTCGGTCGGTCCTGGACATTTTTCGTGAATATCTGGAGAAGATATCCATTCTCGTCATAATCGATGAGAATCTTGAGCTTCTGGAGGACGGAGATGTCCTCGAGGATGTTAGTACCACTGGACTTGAGCCTTGACCTGAGCAAATCGTAGTAGCTGTCGGGGACCTGGAGGAATTCCATACCCCTGGCCCTCAGGTTCTCCACAGCCCTGATGATGTCGTCCGTGTTCAGGGCGATGTGTTGGATTCCAGAGCCGCCGTAGTACTCCACGAACTCCTGGATCTGTGAGCGTTTTTTACCTGGCGCTGGCTCGTTTATCGGTATCTTCACTGTCTCTTCGTAATTTGTCATAACGATTGATCTCAGGGCGGAGTACTCCGTGTGCAGTTGTGTGTCGTCCACTGACCAGAATCTGTGGAACTGGAGATTATCCTCGTACCACTTCGCCACTGGCTCCATTTGATTTTCGGGCTGATTGCCCACGCAGTGGTCTATGAAATTCAACTTTGGATCTGGTCTGCAACAAATTAATGAGTAATTAACAATAATAATTAAATAATTCCAGAAATTAATTACAGATAAAAATTTCTGTCATGAGTTTTTCAATTAAAATTCAAATTAATTGAAATTTAAATAATTATGGACTCACAACAATCGACTGATGGGATCATCGGGGGAGTCGACGTATCCTGGGAGGAATTTCCCCCTGTAGTTGGTTCTGTCCACCAGAGTGTGGAGCGTATCCCCGAACTATTGGAAATACAAGACAAAAAATAATGAATTACTTTAATTATTAATTAAAAATTAATAGTTAGTGAGGAATGAAGATTACAGTCTGAAGAGTTGCCATCCTGACGACTCCGTTATCGTCCTGCTCCTCCCAGACGTCCCTGACGACTCTAGCCCCTCGTTTTTTTGCTACCCTGACGATGGAGTCGATGTCCACGACGCTGAAGGCGATGTCACGGACCCCATCACCGTGCCTGGACAGGTGGGATGACATCAGCTTGTCGTCCGGGTCGTAGGACGATTCGAACACGAAGACAATTTTATTCTGCTTGACTGCGTGGGAGGCGATCTTCCGGGATCCTGTCTCCAGGCCCTGATATCCCAGGGGTTGAAAGCCAAAACGAGTGATGTAGTATCCTGATGCCTGTTTTGCATTTCCTACCCACAGCTTCAGGTGATCGAACGCCAGGAATTCACCCGCCGTGGGTTTCGGCCCCTTGTCGGTGTACGTCGTCTACAGGGAAATACGAATTATCTCAGGAATTACTGATTTTGGAAAAAAATGGTATTTGAATTTTTTTTAGATCATTGAATTCTCCGCAAATTCGGTTTATGATTTTTTGTTCTATCTCCGCTTGGGGGGGAGATAATGGGGGGTTTCGGGGCGGTGAGAATATGACGGTTTGAAAAATTTGAGGTTTCACCTGGGGAATTATTTCCCACGCACCTCCGGACGCTTTTTAATTCTTACCATTTCAAAAACTGCGATTGCGATGGATTCTCGATTATTACTGGACGTCACAGCTGGGGACACTCATTTAAATAAGGGGCCCGCGATGTGGGCTAGGCACCAGGTCGCTTTCTCATTGGTCGATACCGGAGGCTTGTTTACAGGTACAGGAATTTAAAAAGTCATAATTTATTGCTACGACGGGAGAAAAACCGGATTAACACGCGACCGTTGCCTGATCTCAAGAATTCCCATTATCTTTCCATCACCAACTCCCAAATTTCCCACTCACCCGTACCCTAAACATCAATTATATCAACCCCGAGTCATTCTCTCCAAAAAAGTCATAAAATCATTTTCCCAGATAATTTTATCGCCTACAAAAAATGTCTCTACCACTTCCTCGCGATTTTCTTCCTTCTCGCGATAAACCGCGAATTACTCAATGGCGGAGTAAATTCGGGTTTTAAAATTTTTTCCATTTGTTTACTAATTATTCCCTCAGGAAATTATTTATTAATAATCATGTTTATGACGTTTTGGTTGACGCGCAGTGAATGCTAATGATTATTTTTCTTATTTTGTTGTTCGCATAATAGATCGAAGTGGAATATTTTAAAAACGAGTTTTCGGAGAAAAATCGAAGGTCTGATGTAGTGCAGTCTAGAATCCCCAGCTCCCGAAGGCTGACCTGTTAATTAACTACTGCTTAATTACCGATGAATGGAATAGGTTCATAAAATCAATAGTCAATTCTCATGTCGCAATTATTTATTTTGTCGTTCGTTAAATACTGAGTCAGTCTGATAGTTTTTCAAACTTAAAATTAACATATTCATAAATTATTCTTCATTCTCGCTGGATACTTTCGTAATTATCTGAATCCAAAGAGTTTCTCTAAAATCCGCAACAAAATCTCGAAACGAAACAATTCTAATTCCCAATATTCTGGAATATCGATTACATCTGCCTGTCGTCTCGAATAATTCAAGCAAAAATGGAATGGCATCTGAAGTCTTAAATCTTACGATGAGACGGAATAATCTCTCCACGAAAAACAAACCGGCAATAATTACTTCACCTGCACCCATCGTCGATGCAAAAAAAAAAAAAATTCCCCCACACCCCCACCTCCGAAATAAAAACAATTAACAAAAGCCTTTGGCACCCTACAAAATCACAATTCCATGATCCCTCTCGAGACGTCTCTTGGCTTTCAAGGGCACCACCCCCATGAGATCAGCAGGTGTTGGTAGCCCCCCAGGGCCCCCAGTCCCCACCCCCTGCTGATAAAAAACCTCAGTTCTACCACACTGATTTCCATAAACGACGGTGTCCTCAGTCCTGACGATCACGTCCGTTAAATTTCTCGATTTTCTGAATCTCTCGTGAATGACTCCAGCAATCTCCAGTTCACTGACACCCCAGAGGCCCGACCTTCAAAAATTTAAATCAATAATCATTTTAATAATTAGCATTGCATGAATTCTCATAAAATAAATAGTAAAATTTTAATTTGTGGGTGAATTAATGAATAATGATAAAAAATGAGGGACAACCTGTGAAGTGTATCCCACTCAGGATCAACACTGAGAACGGAATAAAGTTCCTTGTGCTCATGCGAGGGCATGGGCTCCATGCAGTGGCCCAATCTACTCTCAAGCCTACCCAGATGATTCATACATGTCTCCCAGAGGCTGTGAATCAACTCGGGATTATTTCCAGTGCCATCATCCATGAGTAGCACCATCACCATATTCTGGTGTCCGCAGATGAAGAGTTCGGCCTTCTCGAGGACGCTACCACTGCCAGGCTCTCTGTCACCCACCCAAAAGTCATCCTCCTCGTTATTATTCTTAGCTAAACGACTCGAGAGGGTGGATAGATCGTAGTACTCGCTCGGTGTTGTCTCTTTGCTGCAGAAGCCACTGGTTTTGTCGTCATTTGCCAGGAGACTGAGTCTTGACATCAGTGGAGTCAATTGCAAGCCCTCGAGCTTCTTCTTCACCTCGAATACCTCGGAGGATCGTCTGCCATCTTCCTCGATCATTGCTGGGGCGTTTAGACTCTTCAGGGGTAGACTCATGGATCTTCGGCAGGTGTCTCTCCTCTTGATGTCGGGAATCCAAGTCCTCGGGTCCTGGGGACTTGGATCTCTGGGGATTGATTCGACGAATTCCAGTCGTGTTGTGTCCAAGTCTTTCAAGCTCTGGTGATCCACGCCATTTGTTCTGGATGGCCTTGAGGATGATCTCGAGCTCTCGGAGAAGCAGTGGGGTTGGGCTTTCACAAGTTCCTGGTAGTGGCTGGATATGTAGTGGTCGTAGAGCTCTTGGGAGACTGGTGAGCCATCGAATTTGAAGACTGGGTAGCAGGGATCGGTTATCGTTGTGGAGTGGTATCTGCGTCGGTGGAGGGACTCGGGGGTGCATGAGGATGGTCTCCATTCCTCAAGGTCAGAGACACTCGAGCTTCTTCTGGCACCTGGGGCTCTTCTGGGCTTTTTCTCAGGGTCAAGACCTCCGGATCTCAATTTATTCAGTCTCTTGCATCTCAGGGCCTCTTTCACCACGTCTGGGATGTCGTCGATGTCCTGGGGCTTCCTCGGGGGATCCAGGATCTCGTCGGAGTCATCGGCGTTGCAGATAAGGACTGCTGTGTCGTGGAGGACTCGATTTATGTCTCTCAAGGGGGTCGAGCAGACACTGGGGGTCAGCGGATGGGCTCGATTTTTTAATCTAAATTCACCCTTTGACTCCACCTGTGACTCAACCTTTGGGGGAATGGAGTCTCGTCGATGGACTGCGGGTACTGACTCCTCCGGAGGGTCACCGTCAGGTGCTTCACCCTCTTCTGGAACTGTAAAGATCCTCGAGGTGTCTCGTTTCATTCCACAGCTCGTCAGAGAAGTTTTCTTGGGGAATTTCTTGGGGATCTGCGGCTCCAGGGGATACACAGGCTTCGGTGGCTCCTCCGGCTTCCTCTGGACGTACACTCGAAGCAGCTGAACACCCAGGGGCAGGTGAAAAGACGTGGGTATTCGATCGGCTGGCGCTTTTATTCGATAGGGATCAGTTATCACCAGCTGTTTCGTCAGCTCTGGTGACAGTTGCGTCGCCACAACTTTATTATTAAAAAACATGGCACCACCCAGGATACCTGGGGTCTCCTGGCAGTACTGCAGCAGCTGGAGGGACTCCAGGAAGACGTTGCTGGCTGATTTTGGGAGTTTTATCATTGGCATCGACGAGAACAGCGACGAGTACTGGAGAATTGGAAGATAAGTCTCCAGCATTTGGTACAATCTCTCGGTGAATTTCGTTCGGTCATTGTTCAGTGACTGGGAGATGGTCTCCAGATCGCAGTGGAAGAACTTCAGTATCTGCTCGAGACTGTCAGCACGACGATGGATAATCCAGTCCTGGATATTACGATCCGTACCAATCGCCATGATATAGGGTGGAAATTTCTTCAGGACGAATTTACCACCCTCCAGGGTTATGAGAGAGGGTGGCGAGAAGGAGCTCGACAGGAACTGGTGGATCCCCATGAGCTGTCCAGCCAGTGCCAGGCGTTGAGTTCCTGAAACCCAGGATGGATGAAAATAGAGAACAGCATCTGCTGGATCGTCCTCCTCTCTTCGGCAACGAGTTGGATCGTAGATGAAGACTATCATCATCTCTCTGAGGAAAAAAAAAAAAACGAACGATCAAAAATACCTGGAGGTCATCATCGAATGGTGGATTTTTCTGGGACATCTGTTTATCATCGATCTTCTTTCGTTATCTCCCATAAAAAAATACATACACTAGTTTATAATCAGCCTTATCCTTAACGAAGATCAATGAATTGAAGAGAGACATGCTCATGCAGAATTCCAAATAATCACCATCATCACCATGACGATATGACGCAACTTACTTAGCCATTGTAATTATCAATGATTTTCTCAGGGCTCTTGATAATCCAATTCACTCCCTACACACCCCTTTCAACTTTCCCTGATGATTGTCCTCCACGATCTCCAACACCTCCAGAACCTCTGATTATCATCTCCCAGTGATCAGCCCTCACGATTAAACATTATAAATAAATTATTCTCTCGCTCTCCACATTATCAAATAAATCAAAATAAATAATAGACCGGAATGCTCAATTATCCAGTCGCAATTATTGTTATTATTTCTATTCTGGGTACATCCCTCTGCAGGTGAACAGGAGGACTAGTTTTCCAATTGTTTTCAATATTTTTTATTCTGAAAATCTCTCTGTAATATCGACTGAATGTGAAAAAATAATAATTACAAATTATAGTCTAAAGTCCAGGATGAGATAATGCGGTGGAATTTTGAGGGGATATTCAGTATCTGACGTCGAGTATGAGAATATCGTCCCCAGGATGACGAGTACTGGACTTCTGGTGCTGACGAGTCCATCGAGGGTTAGGAAGGTACTTCCAGTGATTCAGCATCATGTACTTCAGACTCTTTATATCCAGTATTCACCTGGGAAAAGAGTGCAGTGCCAGATGATGACGAATTCAAGGGTGATTACGAGTATTTATGCCCTTGCTACGTCTTTCCTGGAGAGGGTGGACGTCAGGGTGTTGATATCGAGAGCAAATCAGGGGTTTATTGCCACCAGGAGACCTGTAGAGCTGGTGATATTCGATGGTAATCCCAGGGTGGACCCTCAGACCTTCGTCGAGAAGTTCCTGAGGAATAGGTCGAGGTGTGACATTTTTTTTTTCGACAATTAATGTTCTGAGAGGATTGAAATCAATAATTATCTTCGGATTGAATTTTTTTTTCCTCTCAGGTCTTGCAGATGGATTTCTCTGGATACTGATGGTGATGAGACCCTTGGGGAAGGAGAAAAAAATCCTCTGGGAGGTGGAGAGGAGCTGGAGAAGGTCTGGGATAGAGTTGTCCTCGGGGGCACCTTCGACAGGCTCCACAATGGCCACAAGATCCTCTTGAGTGAAGCTGTTCTTCGATGTAGAGAGAAACTGACAGTTGGGGTCACAGACGAGACCATGATCCAGGGGAAGATCCTCTGGGAGCTCATTGAACCCTGCGAGAAGAGGATCGAGGCTGTCAAGGAGTTCCTCCAGGACATCGATGACTCTATCTCCTACGACGTCGTACCCATTTCCGATATTTACGGACCCACCAGGAGTGAAGAGAACCTAGATCTCATCGTCGTCAGTGAAGAAACAAAACGTGGAGGGCAGAAGGTCAATTATTTATTCATTATTTCATTTTATTTCATTTTATTAATTTCAAGTTTAATTATCTAGCTGGATTAATTCATTTTTTATCACCAGGTGAATGAATTGAGGGGCGAGAAGGGCCTCAGGATTCTAGATGTCCACGTAGTCCAGTTGGCTGAGGACGGGGGGCACAGCGATCACGAGGAGGCGAAGATAAGTTCTAGTAACCAAAGAATAAGACTCCTGGGTACGCGGCTGAAGGAGCCCAATCTTCTGGGCAAGAGCTTGAAGCCCTACATCATTGGATTGACTGGGGGAATAGCCAGTGGAAAATCATCAGTGGCTGAGAAGCTCCAGGCACTTGGGGCTGGTGTTGTTCACTGTGATAAATTGGCTCATGACCTCTATGAACCCGGGAGAGCGGGTTTCCAGAGGGTCGTAGAGCTCTTCGGGGAGGGTATCCTCGACGGGGAGAGGAGAATCGATAGAAAAAAACTGGGGAAAATAGTATTCAATGATAAGGTATCAAACAATAATTCATCTTGTTGAATAAAAAAAAAATTCAGAGATGTCTAGGTGTCTAGAAAGCTGATAAATTCCAGGAGCAATTGGACAGATTGAACAGAGCGGTTTGGCCAGCTATTCTGGAGGCTGCCGTTGATGAAATCCAGAAGCTCCACGTCCAGGGATACGAGATAATCGTGATGGAGGCTGCTGTGCTGATTCAGGCTCGATGGCAATCTGTCTGTCACGAGATCTGGACGTGCATCGTGCCTCACAGTGAGGCTGTCAAGAGGATGATGGAGAGGAATAATTTGACAGAGCTGGAGGCAGAGGCCAGGATCAACGTTCAGCCCAGTAATATTGAACAGGTGGAGGCAGCGACTGTCGTATTTTCAACTCTCTGGAGTCACCAAGTGACGCTGGAGCAGGTGAATCGAGCCTGGAAGGCTGTCAACCACTTCCTCAGTCAGAAATCGTGAAAACTTATCAATTGCCATTTTGTTAATAGTTTTACGTGTACAGTGGGAATTCTGAATGAAAATTGTTGGGGTTGTTGATGAATTTTTCGCCTATTTTTATTTTTATCTGAAGGTCGTGTTGCCTCTGAGGATGATGCTCTCCTCCTGCTCCTTCCTCTCCTGGATCATCGTCATCAGGGTCCCCAGGAAGGTCTGGAAATCGCTCTTCAATTTATTTCCGTCGTCCTCGATGTTGCAGTTCACTTGAGATATTTTAGCGAATGTTGGGGCTGAAATTAGAAAATTGTCAGAGGATTCTGAGCACCTGGGGATCGTCGGGACTCACATATCCGTTTTGGGGGGTCCAGGTGGGACTTGTCTCCCGCGAAGTAAAACACCACGCAGTTCTTCGGCTCCAGCTTCGTCTGGGAAACGAAATAATCGTAGAGCTTCTCCAATTCCCAGACGAGGTCGGGCGTCAGCTTCGAGTACACGAAGATCACCCCCTGGGTGTCTCTCCTGAAGGCTGACCAACAGCTCTCAAACCTCGAGGGGAGAAAAATATTGTCGAGAAATAAATTCAAGTTTTCTCTTTTAGAATTTATTCTTTTTCTGTCTCTACCTGCGATCTCCACTGCAGTCCCAGAGCTCGATGTCCACTTTCGATTGATTCGTCTTCGTGTTGACGTTTGACACATCGAACTCGAGGATCCTGACACCCTGGGTTGGCCTGTACTCGAAGGGGATCTCACTGGCGTCAGCCAAAAAATTCGCAACTGTCGTTTTTCCACTCTGAAAATAAATCCTGAATTTAAATATTATCCAGGGGTTTTGGGAATTCCGATGATTTACCCCAGCAGGACCGACGACAATCAGCTTGATGGGATCCATTTTTCCGGTTGCCATGGAGACGAGGGCACAACAATGAAGGCAACAGTAAAATTCAGCCCATCATCGAGAACTCGTAATTAAATCGATGGAATTGCTTTTGAAAAATATTTGATGTACAATTTTCATTCCCTGCTCTTTTATTAATTCAGTAAATAAATAAAAAAACAAATTGTTGTCTTCTTTGCGTAATTTATTTATTAATCCAAGGGTTTCAATACGACATTCATTACATATTGATAAAATAGTCATTAAATTACGAACGAAATTGACGAAACGTCAGGATTAACACGAACTAAAGTCATGAAATATCGAATGATTGATACTCGGTAATTGTGAAAAGAATTGTGTCAATCTATTGGAGGGGCTGCTGGAGCATCGCCTCTGTCACCTGCATCGGCTCTACGGGTTCGGGTTTTATTTCCTCCGGGTATTCGAGATTGTACAGGGCCTTCAGGGCTGCCTTCGCTGCTATTTTCTTCGCGTCCCTCTTGTTTTTCGCTGAAAAATTACAACAAGATCATTAAATCCTCAATTTATCCCAAGAACTATTCACTCAAGCCGAAAACGCCAAAGGAATTTTTTTTCGTCCATGAGATTCCCTTTAAAAAATTTCTTTTCACATTTTCCTTTAAAACCAATAGTTTTTCAGTTAAATCAATATTCAATTGAACGAAAACTCAGCGTTTTTTATTTTATAACGCATTAACGAATTATTTGACGAATTAACAACGCCTTTAATTAATTGCTCATTAATTAATGATGGGTTATGCATGTGTCGTCGTTTTTTTGGAGAACTTAAGAGCGATTGAACTCACCAGAGCCAGTGAATACTTTCTCGTCGATCTCAACGGAAAGTGTGAACATAGTGTGTGGCGGATTTCCAGATCTGCTGACCTCGACGTAAGTAATTCCAGGTTTCATCTGATTGAGAAGCATAACAGGATGAACAGAGAGTGCATTCTCAGGTAGAACTCTCTCCGTCGGTGGTTTTGATTCAGCCCTGATTTTGGGTGGTGTCTGAGTTCCAGGTCGTGGAATAGGTACAACAGTTCCCTGATTCTGCCACTCCAAGAATAATTTGTAAAGTGCAAAACTAGCGAGTGAACTCCAGGGTATCTCATCAGTCTCATCAACACTCATTGGAGTAGCTGTTGATTCTTGGGCCTGTCCACCCTCAGCAGCAGCAACAGCAGCAGCAGCAACACCCTCTGCTGAGACACCCTCTTTGGTGGTATCAGCTGATTCGACAGCTCCCTGGGAGTCATTCTCAGCGTCAGTGCGAGCTTTGTTGGCAGCTGCTGTCATTTTCTCGAGGAGGAGACACTTCAGGGCATTCTCAGCAGCATTCTGACGTGCCAGGGGCTTGGAGAGACCCTGACCAACGTACGTCTTACCATCCAGCTCGGCATGGACAAGAAAAAGGGAATTGGGGATTGACTGGGTCTCCGGGAAGGTGAACTGGACACCAGCTTTCATCTCATTCAGAACCATTATCGCGTTCTTCGGCATCAGGGTCTTCCTCAGACGTTGATTCATCCTCAGGCGTTTCAATTTCCTGTTCACTTTGGCTGCAACAAAAATTCACACTTCAGACTACAAAATAAATTCATCAATAAAAATTCCCAATTCTTCGTTTGGTATCAGTAATTCTGTTCACATCGATTCTCCATTCCAACGATCTCAACAGAACTCCAACGATCTGGAGATCAGTGGACCAGAAGAATCTTCAAATTTGCGCAGTGAATTGTCATCACAGCAATTCTCCTCAGGGACTTACCCCTTAAAATCCACTCTCTCCATAAAATTTAATTAAATTCCCAGAGCACTTTAAAGAGCCCCAATATTTGAAAAAAAATACTCACTACCCTGCAGTTTAGCACGTCTCCATTTTGGCTGATCACTGGTCTCTGAGAATCCGTCACCCTCGGGCATGACGTCGTCGTAGTCCATGGGATTCTCTGGATTCCCCTGATTCCCTTGATTCCCTTGACTCCCTTGGCTCCCCTGGTTCCCCTGGTTCCCCTGGTTCCCCTGGTTCCCTTGATTCCCCTGGCTCCCCTGATTCCCCTGACTCCCCTGACTCCCCTGACTTGAACCAGCAGCAGTCACATTCCCCGCATTATTCTGATTAGAATTGGCTGCAGGTGCCTTCTGAGCTTGAGCATTGACCTGAGGTTTTTCAGGAGTCTGGGTGAAAATTTTCTGTGGCTGAGATGTCTGAGATTGAAACGTCTTCTGGGTGGTCTGTGGCTGTGGCTGCTGCTGCTGCTGTTGCTGGAAGGTCTTCTGTGATGACTGCTGTTGCTGCATAGGTTTCTGCTGCTGCTGCTGCATAGGTTTCTGCTGCTGCTGCTGCTGCATAGGTTTCTGCTGCTGCTGTTGCTGCTGCTGCATCGGCTTCATCTGCTGTGGCTGCTGTTGCTGTTGCTGCTGCTGCTGCTGCTGCTGCTGCTGCATGGGTTTCTGCTGCTGTAGCGTTCCCCTCTGCCCTTGAATCTGCCCTTGAATCTGCCCTTGAATCTGCACCTGTCCCTGCTTCTGCGGCGTTGACTGGCCAAACTGAAATTAAGATCGGGTGGGTTCGTTCTGCTACACAAGGAACCTCTACGGTTGTACTGTCCCACCAGGGCCCAGGGCGTCTTTAGGGTCATTTACTTGAGGGCAAAATACGTCTCAACCACTACCATAGCTCATAACACGTTCATCACGATTTATCATCACGATTCATTCATTCCCCAGGTCCTGAGAATGAAAGGGTGATTCAAAAAAAAATAAAATGATCAATCTCTGGTTTCCATCATCGAATGCCAATTAATATTCACAGACAAATGATTCTGTGATAATTTATCCTAACGATTTAAATGTTTAATTATCATTTTATTGTGTGGATTTTTAGTGTTTATTGATGAGTGGTTCTGGATTTGTCTTGGCTGTCATTGTTTTTTATCTATTTAATTTTTTTTTGGAGGCATTCGTACGGCTGGGGATTGAACATTTTAATTTCTTGTGATTTTGTGGAACGTCACGATGTTATGCTAGGTGAGGTAAGACAACGAACTTGCCCCTGGTGACATGTACCTCCTCGGTATTGTTGTATAGCTACTTGTTGCTGCCTGCTTTGTGGTACAAGCAGGAGTGGGGAGGAGCGAAGTACGTGGATTAGTACATGCATTGAGATCCTAGTGATTGGAGAGAGATTCTAATTTACCAGGGGATGAGGAACTCTTCTCCTCCTTTTATCTAGCCATTGAGTCTTCGCAACTAGTGATTTATCCCGGAAACTATCGATTTCATGGAAAAATCATGAGGAACTTTTTTTCAGGTGATTAAACGCCCGAGGGAAAAGGTCCTCTCATGTTTCCTGGTGGGACCAATAGTTTCAGAGATAAATCCTGTTTTATGGGGATCGGAATGTTGCGGATATTTGGGTGAATGGTATTTGGGGATCGGTTTTGCCCCAGGTGCGGTGGAGATGGTTTTTGATGAATGGTAAAAGGCATTTGCTCTGGGACATTCGTAGGTGCAATCTCTCTCCACAAACAGGTCCTTACGACACCTCCCTCGATTAGATTTCTCGATATTCGTGAGAACTCCGAGTGAATTTCACCGACGAAAATTCATTTCCATTTTTCGTCAGTTCTACGCAGGTATTCACAACGAAAATCGACTCATTGGAGCCACCCCGTACCCGCGAACCCGATAAATAATCATTAACAAAAAAAAATAATCGACTTACAGCAGCTGCATTTGCATTTCCGGTCTGATACCCCTGATTACTGGCATTCAGAATCGGCCCTCGAACTGGAAAAACAAAAGTCTCCATTATTTATGCGATTATCTCCGGATTCTGAGGAGATAGAAGAATCTTCTCGGGAAGTTTTTTGTAGAGAAAACCGAGAGCTAAAAAAAAGTCCCCACAAATATTTTTCTAGCTCTCCTCGATCCCCAGATATAAATAAAATAAACAGAATTCAATCATCTCTGTAAATCTGAGTTCCCCAATTTGATTTCTCCGTTATGTCTAATTATTTCCGAATCTATCAGAGATACGAAAATTTTCATATCGACCTTTTTTGTTGCTGGCATTCGTCTGTACAAAAAAGTCCCCACGGAAATTCCGGTATGGCTGACAGATCCCGAGATATACATTCAATCTCTTCATTGTCTCTTGATGCATTAAAAAAAGAATAAGTGATGCGTCTAGCTTGTTCAATAAAAAAAACAAATGATGCGTCTAGCTTGGCGTCGGCCATTTTAGAATGCCGGTAGAATTATTGATTATTCAACCCCCAGGCCTATCCCCAACCCCTCCACCCCCGATTTACCCCCAAAAAGCTCTAAAAAATCCGTGGAAACGAAAAATTAAAATCATTACTAAAAAAAAAATGACAGAATAATCACCGAATGATGTGTTTTGTTGGGTTTGGTTTGCCCCTCGACTCCTGGTGTACATCTCGAACAGAATCCCTCTCACCTCACAACCAGAATGATTAATAACAATTAACGCCGATTAATCGCGTTATCGTGCAATTCACTGTAAAAAATGTTGATAAAATTAATCGAGAGTTCCTGTCGCTTTTGACGTTTTTTTTTTGGAGTCGTCGGAGTAGGCGATCCTAGTGCAAAGTGGAGCGAAGATGAAACCGGAAGTGACGCCTCCCCACCATTCGAAAATGGCGGCTGATCGTCGGCGCGGTTTGCCCTGCGCAGCAGCCCAATTTCGTTGTGTCATCAGGGGGGAGTGAACCGCCGGATGTTCAAGGCTGCAGGATGAATGCGTTTTGTTTTTTATTTGTTTAACTGAAATTTAACCGACTGTAGAACGAGCGGAAGGGTGAAGCCACATTTTGTGGAATTTCAAATGAAAAAAGTTATTTAATATATTGAATATATACTCCTAATGAAATAATATTTTTTAAATGAGCGCGTTGTCTAATTGGCAACGTGCTTGAACGTCACGCCGACGGGCTGGGTTCGATCCCAGCGTCATTAATTTTTTTTTTTCAAAATAGTTCTAATTTTTTTTTTTTATTAATGGCTAATTAATGGAAATATCGTTTATAAACTGAATATTTGATAATCGGAAAGATATCCATTGAAATTGCAAAATTCGACATTTTTGAAAATAATAATTTGCAATATATATACTCCTAATGAAATTTTAATTTTATAATGAGCGCGTTGTCTCAACGGTAACGTGCTGGACTGGCACGCCGATGGTCTGGGTTCAATCCCGCCATCATTCATTTTTTTTTTTTTAATAATTCCTATTTTTTCTTTTATCAATGGCTAATCCATCGAAATATTGTTTAAAAACTGAATAGCTCCTCGATGTTCATGTTATCCTGATACTTTTTCTAAAATTTCGAATTTTTCACTTTGAGTGAAAATTTCGGCGAATAACTCCTCGATGTTCATGTTATCCTGATACTTTTTCTAAAATTTCGAATGTTTCACTTTCAGTGAAAATTTCAGTGAATAGCTCTTCGATGTTCATGTTATCCTGATACTTTTTCTAAAATTTCGAATTTTTCACCTTCAGTGAAAATTTCGGTGAATAACTCCTCGATGTTCATGTTACCCTGATACTTTTTCTAAAATTTCGAATGTTTCACATTCAGTGAAAATTTCAGTGAATAGCTCTTCGATGTTCATGTTATCCTGATACTTTTTCTAAAATTTCGAATTTTTCACCATCAGTGAAAATTTCAGTGAATAACTCCTCGATGCTCATGTTACCCTGATACTTTTTCTTAAATTTCGAATGTTTCACCTTCAGTGAAAATTTCAGCGAATAGCTCCTCGATGATCATGTTCTCCTGATACTTTTTCAAAAATTTCGAATTTTTCCATTTCTACACTTATACTTTTTCACTTGAATTTTACCACTCGATTTTTTTTTACCACGCGTCGACACACCAAGGGCCCTATATTACTGGCTGCTGGTATTTTAGGGACCTACATTACCGACCCTGGGTATTTCACTGAAGCGCGAAAATTCAAAAATTTCACTGACATTGAAAAATTCGAAATTTTTGAAAAAGTATCAGGGGAACATGAACCGCTAGGAGGTATTTAATTTTTAACCATTATTTCAATTGATTAACCATTTACAAAAGAAAAAATTGCAATTATTTAAAAAAAAAAAATGAATAACGGCGGGATCGAACCCTGGCCGTCGGTGTGGTAGGCAAGCACGTTACCAGTGAGATAACGCGCTCATTTTAATAATATTATTTCATTAGGGGTATATATTTTGCAAAAGTATTTTAAAAAAAAATGTCAAATTTGTGAATTTCACTGGATATCTTCTCGATTTTCAAAAATACAGTTTTTAAACAATATTTCTATTGATTAGCCATTAATAAAAAAAAAAATTGGTGGTAGAGGGTGAGGGATTTTACTCCCGGGGCAGAGGGAGAGGGATTTTTAGGTGGGGGTTTTTAGGTGGGGATTTTTGACAACCAAGAGGTTATGATCGTTCTCCCCGGGAGAGACGGTGACAGGGAGTTACTCCAGGAGCATAAACCAAGGCTTGTCAACCTGGTGATGAGGAAGTGGACGTAGACACCATGTGGACAGCGAAAACTCCATCACTGCGGATCGATGTAGCGGATTTAAAGTGTAAAAATGGATGTGGATTCTTCGGGAATGACGAGTGGGAAGGATATTGCAGTAAATGTCACCGGGAGTACCTCCAGAGGAAGAGAGCCAAGAGGGAGAGGCAAACGAGGGGACAGAACCACGAGACCGATGCAGCAAAACACTCGACACCTCCAGGTATCAGTAAAGTAGACGATAAAAAACGTCAGCAGGAGAAGAAAAATAAATTACTGAACATCTCGGCGTTCTGGAAGTTGCCCTCGAAGCCCCCGGGGTACGACGATCTCCTGAAGGAACTGGTGCAGAACAACGAGGACCTGGACAAAGTCAAGTCCGAGAACACCGACTTGATGCACATAATCAGCAAAACACCAGCTGAGAAGGACGTGAAGAGGTGCATCCGCACCCTCGTCTCGAACATTCTCCAGAACAGAAATGCCAAGAGGATCGAGGAGCTCTCGGAGATCACCCAGAATTTCTACCAAGTCTTCGGGAAGAGAATGGATAACAGTCCGAATTATGCCGGGATTTCTCCAGAGGTATCCTATTCACAAATAAATTAATAGAATTGATGATTAATTTTGAAAAATATATCCAGGTGAAGGAGCGACTCCTGGACTACGTGGAGAGACACTCCATGACACTTCTCTATCGTGTTCTCTTCTGTCCACCTTTTACCATCGACGAGGAGAAAGATTTGGCGATTCAGAAGAGAATTCGCCAGTTGAATTGGGTGAGTGGTAAAAATCTTGAGTGCAGAATCCACGAGACGAGTCCAGAGGTACGCGAACTCGTCTACACGTCGATAACAGATCTCCTGAATATGGACTCAGCTAAGGCACCTCAGGAGAAATTAACCTGCGTTGTCAACTGCTGCAGGAATATTTTCCAGCTACTCCAGCAGTCGGTGGGTGGTCCAGCATCAGCTGATGAATTCCTTCCAGCACTCATCTTCATCGTCCTCAAGGCCAATCCAGCGAGACTCAAGAGTAATATCAATTTTATCACGAGATTCTGCAACGCTAGTAGATTAATGACTGGCGAGGGTGGATATTATTTCACTAATTTGTGCTGCGCTGTTTCGTTTATCGAGAATTTGACTGCTGAGAGCTTGAATATGTCGGAGAAGGACTTCAATGCTTTTATGTCTGGGGAGAGGGTGCCTGCTAATACCTGGGAGTCAGCACTGACCATTTGCGAGAGTCTTCACATGATGTGCGAGGATATCACTCTGTTGGAGGAGCTCAAGGGCAAAAATCAGGACGTCGTCGACGAGGCCAGGAGGCTTAAGCTCGAGATCGTTGAGTTTCAGAGGAAAATTCGGGTGGAAGTCGAAGATGGCATCGACAAATCACCGCTGATCATCTCCAGGAGTCAGCGGGTACCTACCAACATCGACTGCGAGGATGTCGAGGGATACAAATTACCTCCACCAATTATTCCCCAGGTCAGTTGAATTAATTCACCAATTTACACATTAATAATTCATCATTAATTCTTTTTAATCTCCAGTTGTACTCCCAGCATGTGGGTATGGACGACCCTGACTGTCAGGATGCATCGAAAAATCCATCCATCGATGACTGCATCACTCCGTCCCCTACCTTCGATTTTCCACCGTTCGTCGACTGCTGTCTTGACACCAGCAAACCTGATGACGACACCAGTCTCATCAGTCTTGATGCCCAGTGTGATTTCTCCAGTGTTGACCTCGAGCCTATGGAGAAGACTCCAGACAGTCTTCTCGATAATTCCCATGGTTCAACCTCTAATCTTCCTTCACCACTCACTCCGGGGCTCTTCACCGAGGATTATCAGGGGTTCACTCTCCAGGGATCCAACATTCCCACCATTCCCTGCAGCACTGGCGATCTCTCACTCACATCAAATGATCGAGATACCGATAATTACGCTAATTATTTTAAAAGTATTTAGTCGACCTGGGGAAGATCCTCTATCCGTCGAGGGGATGATTTTTCAATGACGTTTACCAAGTCTAAATTTCTGGGAAATTTCTTACTTCTTGGTGAGGGCCTGTGCAGGTTATTTGTGCCTTAGGGCCCCGAATTCTCGATTAACCAAAAAGGCCAAGGAAATTCAGGACTTGTGAGTAAGTGTTAATATTTAATTATGCATTAATTAGGAAATAGGATTCTGTAATAAATAAAATATTTAAACAATTTAATGTGGACGTTCATTTATTGACTTACCTGTCTTCTTTTTTCATTAATAAATTAATTAATAAACGATATTGTAATTGTTATAAATCACAGGTACGTATTATACAACATTTTTATTGCGATAATTATTTATAATTAAATAATTGTTATCGGATTGTTATGAATGGTTTTGATTTTTTTGAAATGCAGAATGTTTTCATGAGACTTCAATATTCAAATCAACTAAAAATTTTATTTTCATGAATTTTTCGAATGAATGTTTACGTTAACCTAAAAATAAATAATTGCTCTAACCGAAATGACAGGATGACAAACACCAATGCAATTACGAGCCTTCACGTTAAAAAATTAGGTAATTACCTCTGATTAATTAATTTCGAATGAACTTCAAAAATTCGACTCCGAAAAATTGACGTTTAATTGTTTATATTTATTGGGATTTTAAAAATATTTTGGAGGGCGATCGGCCGTTGGAAAGCCCGGGAAAATCGTTTTTGGATTAATTTATTGATTGATGGGGAATATTTTTTATTTAGGGAGTTTTGAATTTTTATTTTTTGAATTTCAGGTCATAAGATCGAAGAGATTCGATGCAGAGCTCTTGAGAATATAATTTCGAAATTGGAGCATGGATTTACGTGTGATTGTCCAGGAGTCAAGAGGGAACTCCTCTCGAAACTCCTCAGCTGGTTCAATTTTGAGACTGCTCCGCACCCTGAGAAGGTCCTGGACCTGATGCACTACCTGATTTCGGTGAGTCCATTATAAAATCATTTCGCAGAGAATTACACAGAAATCGACTTGGTTCAACCTCAAAAATCCGCGGAACCAACGAAGGAATTTCGACGAATCAGATCTCATTTTAAAGCCCGAAAAAATACCTTGAAAACGACCCCCAATTCGTGGAATTCCACTCAGCCAGTGCCGAGATATCGCCGAGCAAAAATGACAGGTCTCTTAATCGCAAGAATGAATAAATCCCATTCCCCATTTGTTAATTAATTTTATAAATAAAACAACTAAATCGCGTTTCCCGTGGCGTTGCCCCAGGTCCCTGACCTTGAATATTCTTCCAGGAAGGGATAGTCACACCCTTCGAGGACTCCCGGGTCCGGAACGACCTGGAACTCCTGCACTCTCGTCTGTCCCCCTCTCACCACCCAAAGCTCCAGGAAATTTCCAATTGCCTTCGCCTGTCCCCAGTTTCCCCCCGCATCCCCCCAGGAGTTCCACCATCCCCAGAGCCCTCGCCTCCGGCCGACGAGACCCAAGTGCCATCATCCCCAGGTACCCCAATCTCCAAAAGATCCGAGAATTCGATCCGCTGGTTATTACTTCCCTGGCAGCCACTGGTCTCATCCGATCGTGGAGTCCTCGCCGCCGTGGAGGACGCCCTCTCCAAGGACGAGTCAAACCTGACGATTCACACCTGCCAACTCATCACCAACGTCATGCTCCAGGATTTTCCAGCCGAGGTATTCCTCCAGCGTCCATCAATAATCTCGATATTCCACAATTTCCTGATGACCTCGGTGGATGAAAAAATCCTCAGGACGATCCTCCGTGCTCTGCACAAGCTGACGAGATCCCTTCGCTTCAGGATTTATTACTACAGCGATCCCTGCGTGGCGAACAGGCGTCAGAGGACGCAGGTACCAGAGGACGACGAGGAGACTGACGAGTCAGTGCTCCAGCTGCAGCAGATGCTGCTGCCAACGTACTGCATCGAGACACTATCAAGAACCCTGCGACTGCTGGAGAACCAGGTTGACGCAGTGCGGCCCCTGGAGACAGTGAAATCGATGATGGACGTGTCCTGGGAGCTGGTGGAGCTCCTGAAGACGAGTTTGACACCGTCAGTGTGGCTCTCCGTCGACGGTCTCTCCCTGAAGATTCACGAGGACCTGAAGTCTCTGCTGAAGCTCCTCGGGGATATCCTGGAGTTCCTCAGGGGCTACAGCAACATCGACTACTGGAGGATCACTTACCTGACCCTTTTATCCACAACAACAAAACTCCTGTCGTCCCTCGTTCCCCTGGAGGTCTCAGACTGCGTTCTCCCGGGTTCACTGAAGATCTCTCTGGCTGTCGCCCTGATGGACACACCTGTCTACCTCCTTCATCCTGGATTACACTCCACCCTCCTGGAGTACGCGAGGCAATTCCGAGGGGATGAGGTGGAGTACCTCAGGATCTTCGAGGAGACGAGGATAATCACGAGATCATTGAGAGCTGCTGTCTCTGTTATTAAATCCAAGGATGACGATATCGTCAGGAACATGTACCTCTCGAGGACGTCTCTGGAGTGCCACGGCAATTTATCCATCATCGAGAGGTACATGTCGATCCTCCAGGGGTACAACGGCCTCAACTCCGAGGACAAATCTCTCTCGTCAAAATTATTTCTCCACCTGCTGTCCCATGGAAATGATAATATCAGGATAAAAACGTACGATGAGTGCAGGTACTTGGTGGCAGCAGCACTGGGTGTTGAGAGGACCAGAGGAAGAGCCTCAGTCACCTGGACATCAATTGGTTTTTTATTCGATAAAGACGTCCTGAGGGAGATTATCTGTCACGGAGTGGCTGACGACCTGGTGAAAAGTTCGGCTGAGGATATTCTGATATTTCTGCTGAAGGGGAAGATCCCCATGGGTGAGACAGGATGGAATTCCCTTCTGGAGGCTCTCCGCCCGGTGTTTCCTCTCCTCCAGGTCCTGGGAGGCGCCAAATCTCCGCTGGAGAGGTGCATTTCCAAGATGCTTGACCCAGACCTCTACCAGGAGATCAGTCTGACGTACCTGGAGGTCCTCAAGGGCAATATGAGGCTTCTCTTCTCTCTGGACGCATCACTCCGGGAGGAGAGCGTCTTTAGGCTGATTTACCTCCTGGGAATGGAGAGGAACTCCACCGAAAAACACCCCAGGCTGTCGTCTCTCCATGGACTCCCCCTGAGCTCTCTTTTAATTCTTGAAAGACAGAGTAATTTCAAGAAACCAGAGGGTAATTATGACAGGTGCAACTTGCTGTCTGTCCTGGAGATGCTGAAGGTCTCCAGCGTCGAGCCCAAGGTGAGGAAGTCAGCGCTGATTCAAGTCAGTGTTATGCTGACAGACTCATCCCTCCACCGGGTCTTCCTCAAGGAGAAGGGCCTGGAGATCCTCTTGGAAATCCTGGAGAGGTCCCTCATGGAGAAAGACTTCGAAAATTACCCAGACTCCGTCGTCCCCATCGTCACGATCCTCAGGATCCTCTCCTCGACCCAGGGAACAGTTCGTCATCAACTCAACGACACGAATGTCTTGATAAACATCCTCAGGGGTTTATTCCTCTTCCCCAATCACGAGACTGTGAAAATCGACACCGCCCAGTTATTATTTCTCCTCCTCTTCCACGACGAGATCGTAATCGACGTGGGTATTTCCGTTCCTGAGGTGGTGATCACGAGGATGAGAGTTCCATTTCACTGTAAAATTCACTGGAGGACTAGTCCTCACAGGAAGGAGAAACCGATCGCCTGGAGGAATCCACTGACTCTTGCATTCGTCAGACAATTCTGGTCTTGGGAATGGAACAACCGGGAGGACGTACTCTGGACCCACTGGGACAGCCTCAACACCGAGACCATCGACGAGAGCCTCAAGATCTCAGAGCAAGAGCTGTCGACTCTCCAGTCCACCTCAATCCGTTTCTCCATTCAGCGACAACTCTTCAACATCAAGAACTCGACGACCCACGAGGAAGTGACGTCCGCCCTGGACTACCTGTGGATGTACACCAGGTTGACAGAATTAAATCCCACGGAGAGGAGTCTCGTGGGTCTCTCGTCGATGCCCTGGGAGCAGTCCCTCGAGCGTTTTCTCCTGTCACACCCAACGAGCCAAGACGACTGCTGCCTCTTCGTGGATGTCCTCAATTATCTGAACCTCCTGATGACGATCACCCGTGATCCTGGAGTGATCCAGTGGATATCGAGGACAACGAGACACATGACAAAGTCCCTGTCAGATCTCCTGAGGTGTTTAGAAAAAAATTATCAAAACGTTCACCAGTCTGTCCTGAGACTCGTCCGCACCTGCATCAACCTGGAGACTGATCTCGATGAGGACGACAGTCTCGAGGATTTCGTGGAGATAATCGTCTCGAATCTCTGCTCCAATGATCAACAGCACTTTTACAACCTGGCGTACCTCGACTGGCTGTTGAATTGCCTGACGTACCTGACGAGCAACAAAAAATGGAGAATAATCCAGGGTAACAATAACCTGGTGACAACTCTGGTGAATTCCCTGATGGAGCTGATTGCATCATTCCACGGCAATGGTGCCACCAGCTTCATGGGTCTATCAATAACCAAAAATTCGATAATCTGTCTGAATCACCTGCTCTCACAGACGACGTCGAAGTCGTTTTCAATCCTCTGGAGGGCAATTACTTGGTTACCAACACTCTGGAGTAACAGGGATCCCCTGGTGAGGGCCTCAGGGCTCCAGCTGTTGGGTGGTCTTCTCCGAACGCCCCACGACGGCCAGGAGTTACTCCAGAGCCTCGGGATGGCACCCAACGAGCTACTCCAGGGTGTCATAAAAATTATGATCGATCGAGAGGAGGCGTCAATCGTCAGGGAGAAAGCAGCTGTTGCTCTCAGTCACCTGGTGAAGAACTCCAGGGGTTCGGTATTCAATTATTGTGACTCCTTGAGGCCCAATGCCATCGTCATCTACCTGGAGCAGGCGAACGTCTTCTACGAGATGAGTATCATGTGCTCGAATTTGTATTTATCAGGATCACTGGAGTCTGAAGGAGCCGCTGGGGACTCTGACACCTCCAGGTCCTACCCCAGGTCGGTTCTACATTTTTACAACGGCCAGGACGAGACGTCCCTCAAGGACGATTCGGAATTCGTGACGACTCCAGCACTCGTCACCGCTGTCTGCTGTCTCATTAATAATCTTGTGATCATCGGAGGAGACGTCATCACCAAGATCTACGAGAATTCCCTCGACAAGTACCTGGTGAGCTGCCTAGGGCCCATCCCCACGGGTCCACTGGCCCCTGATGTACTCCAGATGTACGTGGGGATCTGCACCGTCCTGACGAATTGCATCAGTCACTCCGGGGAATTCGCCAATTCCGTGAACTTCTCACCGGATTTTTTATTCCTGTTGATGAGTTATCTGAATGAGGAGAGGATAGGGAAGAGACTGATGGTGGAGGTCTTCAATTTGCTGAGTGTCATGTCTCTGACGGAGGGACAGCACCTGGAGGCCATCCGAACTGCTGTCGACGTCCTGGGAGTGGAAAATCTGGTACTCTCGATTTGTCGAGGGGTCGGTGGAGATGGTGAAGTCAGGATGAGTGCAATCGCCTGTCTGGGGTTCCTCCTGGGGATCGGTATCGAGGGGAAAGACCTCCTGGCGGAAGCACTCGATGATATTGACGTGGAGAATGTCAAGGCTGGTGCCAGAATCTGTCAGGTACTTGTCGAGCTGCTGGTGGCGTACAATTACGCCAAGAAGAGGATCTCCAGGGATAAGGAACTCGTCATGGGGACTCTGGCTAATCTTTTATGCGTCAGTCGTGAGGCCAAGGATGAGGCTGAGAGGCAGAACCTGGGGATGACCTCGGTGATGATCCTCAAGGAGTTATTCACCGAGATCAGTCTTCAGCCTCATCACAAAAGGGGCGAGAGGGAGAAGAAGATGGCGCCTGTCATCGGGGAAGTGGCTAAAGTCCTGGGGCTGCTCATGAATTTTTCCTGTGGCAGCTGTCGAGTCAAGAGGAACCTGGCAGCAGCTGGAGTTGCTGATGTTCTCCATAAATTGTGGGCCTGGATCTGTTTGAATGACGCGGCTATCATTTCTGCTCTAAAAATGCTCGCAACTCTCACCACTGACTGCCCCGAAGGTATTTTGTTATAATTTTGTTATAATTTTGTTATAATTTTGTTATAATTTTGTTATAATTTTGTTATAATCCTTTCAAATATATTAATATCGAATCAAATTTGACCGGAATCCCTGGAATTCTGGGGAATAAATAACGAATTGAACGTAAAAAAAAATTTTTTCCAGCCGCCCAATCCCTCACCCTGACGACGACCCTCCCAGGATCGGGCCCTCGAAGGACCCCGAACACGGTATCTCTCCTGAATGTGATAATTCACCTGATCACCCAGGAGGTGGACAAGGCGAGTCAGTCCTTCGATAATCACCGGCTGCACTTTGCCTTCCACGTCCTCAGGAATTCTGTGCACGTCCATGAGTGTCGTGTGGCCATCTCCAAGAGCAATCTCCTCCAATTCTTCACGAAGATTCACCCGTTGACGACGAAACGCAATAAACCCTGGCCTCTCATCGAGATCTACTGCCTCGAGTTCCTGATCGATTTCACGTTCTACGATGAGGGACAGACGTGCGTACCCAAGACAACTGACGGTTTCGAGGTGCTGATACAGCTGTCCAAGTGCTCATCATCCAGCCAGAGGATTCTCTCCCTCTCCATCCTGAGGAATCTCGTGTTCAATGTCATTAACAGGCCGAGGATTCTGGCGTCGATTGAATTCATGAATCTTCTTCACTGGGTGTTGCGGAGGGGCAGCTTCTGCGAGATCGGCGTCGTGGGGTCTATCCTCTGGGCACTGGTTACCAACAATCAGAAGGCTAAACTCATCGCCAGGACTGCTGGCTTTGCTCAGGCACTCCAGGAAGTCCTGGGGAGAATTGCCCTGGACAACGTGCCTCATCAACTCCAGCAGGATGATCTCGTCAGGATGATTCAGTACGTCATCAAGATCATCAAGACCTCTGACGCCAAGTGCGACCTTCAGGACTGAATATCATTAATTTTAATTATTTGTATTTGATTGCTGGAGCCAAGAGGTCAAGGTCAACGAGTCCACTTTATCGCTCTTACGGGTTTTTCTGGAATATCTCCGAATCTAATCGAGATATCGAAATTTATGTCAAGATCTTCTTTATAGAGGACAGCGAGAACTGCAGTTCAAGTTATTATGAATATTTCGATATCTTGATTGGATACCGAGATAATTCGATAAAACTGGAGCGAAAAAAGAGGGGAATTATTTTTTTTAAAACTCTGAGCTTCTGATTTTGTAAATAATCGACTCTATTTTTGTAAAACTTTTTCTGGATAATAAATAATGATTATTATAAGCTTCTAGTGGAGTGTAATTTTAAAAAATTTTTCCTGAATTTAATCACTGTTTCATAATTTCGCGGAATATTTAACAATTCTGCGGGAAAATTCGAATTCTCTTTTTTCCCAGACGCGCATCAATGAATTAATCCCCAATTACCCTCGATTCTCGGCAATTACCGTCAGTCAGGCGTTGTCCAGAGGAAAGGAGAACATCTCTGACGTAGAAGAGAGGAAAAAAAAAAGGCGTGAAAAAATATGACAAGCGGATGCTCCGGCGTTTGCTCAGATGTGGCTTTCACCAGCTGCTTTGTAAGAATGAAATTGAAAAAAAAATAAATAAATCTCCAGCCAACGATCCGGAAGAAGCGGCCGAGGGAATGGACTGCGATTATTCATCTTGAAGTGTAGAAGGTGGAGGAAAGAGGCGTCGATGAGTCGTAGTTGGTATTTCACTGGGTTTTGTTTTTAATGAAGCACCAGTCGGTTCAAGTGCATCCTCGCAATCACGTGCTACCTTTTGCCAATTAATTCAATAAAAAATCATCCAGTTGGGATGATCTTGATGATGATCCAGGGATTGATCAAGGAACAATCGTAAACTGGATGATTCAGGCGTATCACCGAGGGAGGAAGCGAAGGAATTGATGCGCTACAGAAACGTGAGTTCAAAATCATCAATTTGTCACGCAACATCTGCGCCGCTTATCGCGGTACCTGATGAAGCTACGGGAATCTCCCCGGGACCTTTTTTGTAGAGCAAATTCAGAGCTAGAAAAAAGTCCCCACGGAAATTTCTGTAGCTACTCTCAATCTCGCGATTTCTCCAGAAAACCCAAGAAACAACTGGAGAACAAGAAAAACTGTAATTTTCTCAATGACCTCAACTTTTTGTATCGTATCTCGAAAACAAGGGGAGATACAAAAAATGTTGATAAACACTTTTTGTAGTTTTTATTCCGCTCTACAAAAAAGGTCCCAACGACTATAGGGCTATCTGTCCCGGGTTCATAGTTATCCGACCTAGAAGAAAAGCGTGGGTGTATAAGTGGATGGTGCTCGATTTCTCCACCCCCAAAATCATTTCTAATCCTTCTCGATTATTCTCCCACGACAACCATCGATTTATCCTCTGATTCAATGAATACCAATAGACGATTGGATATCGGCTGGGCCCGTTTGTTCGTTCAGTTTTTCGATCACGTGGTATCGGATGGATTTGCGTCAATGCTGACCTCCGGAGTTGGTATCCACGCATACCAAACCCCCTTCACCCGTAGTGAAGACAAACGACTCTTAATGGCCTCAACAAACCTCACCTCTCACTAACTCCCATTTTTACCAATTATTTTGGCACTATCCGAATCGATAAACTCATCCCCCCTCAATTTACTGAACTGTACCTGAATTCCTGTATTTAAATAATATTTAAATATATATATAAACAATAGTCTTTTGCAAAAAACCATTTTTTAATGCATACTCCTCTTAAATATATTTTTTTATTATTTTATTAATTTTTTTTTGCAATATTGAGATCAATTCTCCCGCATTTTTTTAAATTTGCCGACGCCATTTTTACGGATGAATTTTAATCGTAATTCAGGTACACGCGCGGTTTTTATTCGGGTACAAAATCAGGTCCTGATCTGGAGAGCTGTCAGAATTTAAATTTTTGGAGAACAAATTAATTTCCAGTGACTCACGCGGGAAATTATGAATTATTAAACCATCAAATTCGTAATTATGTCGGTATAAATTATTTCCTCGGTTTATATTTTTTGTATGGGCATGTTGAGAATTTTTATGGGGAGTTTTTCCGGTAATATCTATCGTTTTTTACGATTCATGGCAATTATGTGGGCGCGTCTGGAAAATCCTTGAGGAAAATCCGCTCTGAGCGCACGTTGGCGGATTGTTTACAGTGAATTGTCACACGTGCCTTTCAATTCCATGGGTGACATCTCGGATTTTCACACGTTTGTTGTCTAGGTCATGAATAAACCCGTCACTTTCTTTCATATATATATTTTTTTATTTTTAATGAATGTTTAAAATTTTTTTTCATTTTTTTTTTATTTTTAAAATTTGAATTAAATTTTTTTTTCATTCGCACCTAATCATGCCTGATCAGTACATTCTGATGATTTCCTTCTCATGATTTCCCTCTCCATTTCCCCACATTTCCCCCAGATTTTCCCCCAAATCCCCCGTTTTATCCACCAAAACCCAGAAAATCCCGGGATTCCCCGAGTGAAATTCACAGTTTTGAAAATTATTTTATTTATCGCGGGGAGATTTAAATGTTGCCACAGGGAATTTAAAGAATGCGGTGATATTCCACCGTTTGATTGGTCAATTAGAGTTGGACTCTAATTTTTTCTGACAAGACAAATACTCGACGCGTGTTGTCCGACCTCTCACCATCAAAAAAAAAATATTCCACGGATAAATCATTCCCCAAATTCCAACGCCATCCATCAGTTCTTAAATAATTAATTAAGA